GCAACTGTGTGATCTTGGTCAAATCAATGAGGCCCCTGTGCTCTTGACTAATCAGTGAAGTTTATCTATAAAGCTGAGAACAAAAATTTTCCTCAGCCCCTGTTTCTAACTTGGTCTGCTCGTCTTGTACTTTTCCATAGGTCTTGCACAAATCAGTACCATGCAGGGAAGGTTACTTAAAGGTTGATTGTCAAGTGCTTTTGTATCTTTGGACAAAAAGCTCCCTGTTCAGTGCTACATGTTACTATTTTTATGAATGGCAATTAGAGTTTAGTGTTATGGAAGCATCAGTGGGACAAAAAAATTGATGCTACCGTGAACAACATGAGCGTCATCCACTGTTGTTGTTGTTTTCATTCTGTCCTTTAAAACAAAACCAAAAACCTGCCATTCACTGAGCTGGAGGAAGGTGTCAATTTTTTAACATGAAGTGACAGGATATGTCCAGAGGCAGTGGAGGAGCTGGTTTTGCATTGGCAAGATTTACGATAAGGGATTCACATGAGTGCTGAGGCTAAAGGAAGATGAATCCCTAAAGGCAAATTCTACCAATAATTGAATTACAAAGCCATTATCATGTGCTGAACAAAGCAACTTTGTAGCTTTATTGTGACAGGATAAAGCTTGTTAGAATATTTATGCTCAGAGGACAACTTTGGCATAAGGATCTCTAGGAGTACATTTCCTCTTCCACGTGACTGTTAGAGCTAGTTAGTTCTTTCAGTGTAATGCAGTGTATGTGGAGATAGGGATTTGCTCAAATTGGGACTAGGAAGAGGGCTTGCTGAGGGTCAGGAGGCATCTTAAATATATAGCTTGTTAAGAACAAAGCCATCTGTGGGATACAGCTGAGGCACATAAGCATTTTTCATGCTGAGTAGTAACACTGGATTTTCCAAGCAATGTGACTTTTCTGTTTGGCATTGCGGTGCAGCCACATCTGAGCTACTCCCATTCCCACTGGTAATCTCAAAATGGCCAGAACTGTGTGGATCTCATTCCATCCACCTTAGAGACGTGCTGTTATGTCATTTGTCTGCCAGCCTTTGCTACATGAACAAGTCATACCTGTTTATCCCCAAAGCAGGTGAGGTATGGTCACAGGAGTCCTAATTCTGCATTTGGTCACTTCCTCTGAGACATGGAAAAGCTACATAAAGCCTCTGTGTCCATATAAAGAACGAGAGACATTCACACTGGTTCTGTCTTTGAAAAGGACATGGTAGCATTTGGCATTCTGGGCCATTTGCATCAAAGATTCTGTAAAATAACAATGTCTTCTACTGCCTGTCTTAAAAGATGTTTGGCTTGGCTGCTGTGAGCATGTATGATACAAGAAATACATATGAAAAGATTGCCATTGAGTTTCTTGTGTATATGGTCCCAGATACAGTGTGTCTGTGTCTGAAGTCAAGCATCCAAAACCAAAGGCACCCATAGCTGCTTTCCAGAGTGCACAATTCCTTAAGATGCAGCCCTTATTGTCTGGTGTTTTGAGTTCATTGTTTATGAAAACATGGTAGATTGAAATTAGGTGCAGCAAGTAGAAGCTTTTGCTTTCTTTACAATGATGCCTTTTTGCAGTTCTGAGTGGTCTGACTGCATTGCAAGCCTCATCAGTTCCCAGCATCCATAAACAATTGCTTTTGTCCCTAGAAGTGAAAAAAGATAGAAGAGGTGGAAACCAGGGATAACAGGGTCTCTATTGAATTTTCTTGGCTCAGAGGAGCTGACGGGCCAAGGAAGCCAAGGTTTTAGAAATGTTTGAGACACAGAAGATGGCAAGGGGTTGGTCACTACAGAAATATGCCAACTAGCATTTACTGTGCAATGGGCAGTGCCAGGCTGCTTTTGTTTAGTTCAGCCTAGTTCCAAACCAGGGGATGATTTGGGGTCTTTTCCCTGTGCTGCTTCTCACGGTGGATGTGGAATCTGCATTCAGAGCAATTACTGTGCTGCAGCCAGTGGTATCGATTTGTAAGGCTCTCAAGTGCAGATAACTACTTAGCAGGCTTGATGGTGATTAAAATTTTAGGAAGCAAGTTTGTAATGGGACCGTGGGGGTCCTAAATTTTTCAAAATGTAAGTATCTTACAGTGGGGTCACTGCCTTGCACTCCCTTTGGCTTTTCTAAATATTCCTTTTCCCAAAAGATTTTTTTTCTTCTCCTTTTTTCTTTTTTCAAAACATCCAGACAATTATACCAACAAAACGCTTAAAGTTAATCACAAAAATACAATAGGCACCATTCAACAGAAAGCGTTGCAAGGATATCCCTGGTGTCCTTAAGTTTCTGGGAGTATTACAGAAAGCCTGAGATTAAAGGGATGGACAAAGGACACGCTGGCATTTTACCACAAAGTGAAAACATAGACTGAGGCAAGAAGAAAAGTTTGTGGGTATATGAGCGTTTGGTCTTTGAGAGCAGATGCTGAAAGGGGAGAATGGATTTGAGAAATACGAGAAGAAAGCACTGCCAGCATAGCAAACAGAAGTTGCTCCGAATAGGGAATGGCAAATCTGGGACTATTGCTTGTTTTTAGAGAGACTTCTGAGAGAATTCAATAGCTGGGTCCCAGAATGTTGTTGATCTATCCCCCTGTTCTTTGTAGGGTGCTTGGTTTATCAGCTGTTGAGCACACAGTGCTCTTCCTCATCTACCTTGGGAAGCATTGTATTGCCTATGTTGCATTGACATGTGCACAAAAGATAATGAGGTACAGTGGGCACTTTTATTAAGTTAGAAACACAGAGTTGGAGGCTTTGGTGCTCTCTTGGGCCCATCCAGCATGTAGTTTCCTTCTTCCACATGTGAAGCTTGGGTTTTTTTTGATTATTCTAGCTTTGGTTTAAGAACCTTCCAGTCTGGTCAGGAATGGAATTTCTTTGTAATCAGTTATTCATTCTTTTTCATATTGACACCATGGGTTTAAATCTGTTGCTTAATAATACTCAGGCTTGTAGAGGTATGTTGACTTTCTCAGCTTCTAAGGATAATGCTTTTGGTTCTTTTCCCCAGCCAAATGAAGGAGACAAAACCCACTGACAGAATGGCTGTATGCTTGGTAGTGTTGTGATTGATGTGGTTGACATACTGAAAATTCAAGAATTCTGATATATATCCTACAGTTCCTAACACCTTCTTTCCAGTAGATGCTTTAGGAACAGATTGTCCTATGCATGTGAAAGGATATGTCTGTCTTCCTAGAGAGAGCATGTTCTCAGGGGCTGTACAACCAAAAGCACAATATTTATCTCCTGTATATGCTCTCTGTGGTCAATATTAAATTTATGAATGTTTCCTAGTATTTTATATGTCCTAGAGTAAATAATAGGACTGGTGTAAGCTATATAAAGAATTTCTCAGAAAGAGGACTGCTCAGGACATTCAATTACCCCTTTAATTGCAATCCATATCTCATCTGTAATTTGTGTTTTTAAAATCAGGTAGTAAACTTATTTCAGGTCTATTGTGTTTCCTACTTTGGGACCTTTATGTGATCACATGTGTGTGTTTGTAGTGTGGGTGTCCAGGTATCTTAAATTCAATGGAGAGAAACAGGCCTTTCTAGGATAAATTCTTCTCATGAAGTCATATCTAACACTGTTCAGCTGATTCCTTCCCCCCTCACTTGGTGTCAATTATCAGGAAGCAGAGATTTTAAGTGGAAGTTGAGTGTTTAAGGAAATAACACTTTGCCATAAACTTTCTTAAAGATGGAGAAGAGGTAAAAGCAATGCTGGTTCAGAGTATTTTCTGAACTTCAGTCCCCAGCAAAGGAGAACGAAACCTTTTCTAGCTAGTGAATTGCTATATATTTTGTCAAGCAAAGGTAAGGATTAATCAGGATGCAGTCTTGTTAACATTTTTATAATAGTTATTAGTTAATGCACATGATGATTAAGCACTGGAGGTGCCTCTGATTGCAGTCAGTAGGAACTGAATTAGGGTCTAAATCATTGTTTGAATCTCTCTTCTGATTTCCTGAAAAATAATGAGGGTTTGAAGAGAACATCTAATTTTTCTATCACTGGAAATGAATGTGTGTCTTCCCTCATGCTTCTATTAACTAGGAGGTCAGGCAGCTAACAAGAAACCGGTTATTTAACCCTTAGCTTTAATCCAGGATTGTGACTTGGATGATTGGATCAAGACCAGAAACAAGGCTGATTGTCAGAGGTGCTGCTGAGGCAGCTGTACAGTGGGACTGGCACAGAGAGCAGCCATGCATCATTCAGGCTGTCCATCAAACCACTGGCCATTTGGAATCTTCCAGGGAATCGATGAGGCCACCAGTGCCAGTCCAGGGGAACCTCAACAATGGAAGCAAATTTAATTCCAAGCAAGTTTAATTCCATAAACTCCTTATTTGCAGTGCTCAATGTCTTTACTTTGTTACTTGTTAATTCAGAGGGAACAAACAGTCATTTTCAATGTGACACTTTTATTAATGGAATACTGTTTTTATTAGATCAGAAGTGATAAAATGTCTCAGGATAAAATGAGTTTTTAAAACTTCTTAATTAATGAGGGAACATTGATCATTAAGAGTGTCAATTAAGCAAATGTGCATAAAATGTCCAATATAAAGGAACAGCTATAATTAGTATGCTGGCAAATACTATTATCCCATCAATTAAAGTCTTCTGTATTCCACCCTGAACTGAAATGTATCCTTCTGACCAAACCAGGAGAAGCATCAAAATTTCATGTGCCAACGAGAACAGGAACAGGTCTCCAGGTGGAAAGAAGTGAAGAAAAGGGGTGAGAAATAAAGAACTCATAAGTGCAATGACATTTATTAGATAAAATTGTACTATTTCTTTAAAATATTCAAGTTCATTTTAGGAAAAACGCCAAAATTCTTTCAAAATTACCAATTCTTACTTGTGAATATGATTTTATGTCCAGCTAAACAGGATCTCCTTTGAAAGCAATATCTCAGCCATTCATGGTATATGTTGTTTTTAATGCCCTTGTCTCAATCTGCCTTTTACAGGTCTATGATGGGCAATGGAAGAGAGCCTGACCTCGTGCACCTGGAGGCAAGGACAGTGGATGGTCGTAAGTACATCAGCTTCCAAATATTTTGGTGTACTGGGCTCTCATTTTCTTGTAACCATACAATACAACAATAAGAATCTCACTTCTTTTAGTGATTCACTCATGTAGTACAAAGAGTTTGGCTGTTCTGATTTAGGTCTGTCAGAAGAGAAGCCTTTCCAGCAAGGCAAAAAGTTGGGTTAACCAGGCTGTGAAAGGAGCTGAGGACGTGATAAGGAAGAATAGGTGATAAGCAGTAACTTGAGTTGCTACACACAGCACTTTTATTTCTTCTTACATGATTTTTGTTGATGGGAACATGACACTGAAGAGACGTTCATCGGTCACGAAGTCTAGCTGCTGTTTGTTCACACAGTACATAACATTACCTTGTTCATAGCTTCATAGTTTTAGCAGACCTGGGATACCCTGCCTTAGGTATTACCTTTGAAAATACCCAATTAGAAACCTTTTAATGACCAGTCTGAGTGAATTCTTCACTGTTACTGCCAGTAATGTCCTGTCATTGTCCTTCACTTTCATCAGCTCCTTTCCCTCCCTGCTTTGGCTCTTGAGGTGTTTTTTTGGTTTTTTTTTTTCCCTGTTCCAGGAACCTCCTTTACCTGCAACTCCAAAATATTTTCCTAATTGGCTGTAAATTCTCTCAGGCATGCTCAGCCACCTGCTGGCCTTTTCTCCTCCAATTCAGGCTTTCTGAAGGTTTATCTCTGAGCTCCACAGCCTTTGCAGATCTTTCTCCATGGATTTCTTTTCCACAACATTGGATTGCCTCAGGCAGGCATCACAGTGAATGCCCAGCTGCCAGAGATCCAGTCATTTTAATTCCATATTGTTTCCTCAGTAAATAGCAGTTTTTCTGCAGCATAACAGGAAGTTTTTACCATTTGCAGTACAGAAGTTTTAATGATGCCTTCAATTAATTATTTTTAAAATGGATAAAGTTCTCCCTCGCATTGTACTCTCAATTGCAGTGGTGCTACTTAAAATGTGCATTTTGTCATTTGAAACTTAAAAGATATCTGAAAAGTTAATTGTAAGGTAATCTGGTTTTTAACTTAGAAAATTTAACTTGAAAGAGAACTTTTTGGAATATGAATTTTGATAGTTGCGATAGAAACCATAAAGTTTTAAAGGTCTTTTCATTTCAAGATAGGTAGGATTGGTGACAGTGAAATAATATATTATCTCTATTTCTTAAAATTTTTGATCTGTGATTATTATTTCTCCTCTCAATTTCACTTACTTGATGTGGCAGCAAAGCTGGGAACATGAGGCTTTCTGTTTCTTGGGACATGCTAAAAGAAAATATTTTAACAGGACAGTGTCTGTTTCAGCACAAAATATTGCTGTTAGAAGTCATTAAAAACTCAAGGTCATTGAGATGAAGCACTACACATGATGTTTAGGGAGCTGCACTCTGGTGATGCATTTGAGGGATATTCATCTCCCAGTGGGAAGAGAACAGCCTTAGTACCAGGCTCTCCTTGCTAGAACACCAGTAGCTCTGTGTCTCTGCCCTCTGATTATGGTCTGTCTGTGCGCTTAATTTATTGTGCTTATGTACCTAATGTACAATGTTTGCAAGGACCAAAACAAGAGTTCCTCAGCAGGCATAAATCAGTACAACTTCAGCGGCATTGATTTACACCTGCTGAGGATCTGGCTAAGCAATGATGTTCTTGAGTGTGTGTTTTCCCTACATTTTTCATTTTTTTTCCCCCACCTTGGGATCCAGAAAAAATGTGGACTCCTGAACACACTGTGTGTTGTCAAAGTAGGGTGCAGGTAATGATGAGCAAGCTGAGTACAGCCTGCTCAATTTATTTGTATTGGTGGGGACAGACTTGCAGGGCTAATCACTGCCTTTTATGGTTTTCGTCCTGTTGTGTAAGTTTTGGAGAGCACCATGCAAATTTTCATCTTGTGGAATGTGATGCTTTTGTTTATTTTTCAAAGGCTTCAGGCCCAATCCATATCAATCTGGGGCTGAGAGCATGGTGGTAAAACTGATTTTTTCTGGTTGGAAGAAGTTCAGATGAATGTTATCTCACATTTCCATTTGTACGCTTGGGTGTCCCTGGTGTTTCGCTTTGATTTTGGAGCAGGATCAAAGGCAAGCCAGCAAAGTCAGCAGGAATTGTGATTTTTTTTTTTTTTTTTTTTCGGTCTGGCTTCAGGGCAACACCCCAGTAAGGCAATTAATCCCCTATGGTTCTTAATCACACAATAATCTTCTCTTTGTTACATTCCCCACCACAGCCAGCAGGCAGGGTGATGGTGGAAGTTAAATCTAGGTTTGCTCAAATGCAAGTGCTTTCAGAAGGTATAAACTTAATGACACATGGGAGTTCAGGTTTGTGAGGAATACACAAGATCCTAAAATTAACAGGCTTGTCTGGTTTGAGCTTGGTAGAGTTATCCCAGTAAGGCCTGATTCAAGCTAATTAAATGGGAGGTAATTTTTTATTCAGGCGGTGCCTACAGAGGAATCCAGACTGTTGGTGCAAATTATAAAGATGGATTCCTACAAGGCATTTGGAGACTAACTGGGTACCCACTGGCCCTCCAGAGAATGGCAAAACTGACTCAGAGGATGTCTAAATTACATTTTCTATAGACAGTAAAACAGTAAAACAACTATTACATTTATGAGCCGTGCATTTGCTTTTGTAGATAAGAGACCAATTTATTTGGAGTAAAGTTTTAATTTTTTTTTAAGTGTGGATGAAAGAAGTTAAGGGGTTTTCTAATGTGCTGGCAAAAATTTAAAGAGCTCCTGATATTTAAAAAGTAGTTTTGTTTCCTTTGCTTTTCTTCTGCTGTCCTGATTTACATAGCAGCTTTTCCTACTGAAAGATAATTTAGGTGCTGCTGTGATGCAGGTTAAGACCAAAGTCTCACCTGGGGCCAGCAGACATGTTCTGCTTGCTGATCCACAGGGACTGAGCATCTGGCCAGTAGTGCCTGAATCACAAAGTTGCACTAGTACTTTAATTTCTGTTTTCACAGGAAATTGCTGGGAAGAATAAAACAATCACTGTTGTGGAAAAAATGAGTAGGCAGCCTAGCCTGGCAGTCTTTTCCTAACGCAGCTACAGTGGTGAATTAATTCCTGTAGTGCCCTAAACCTGTGCAGTGATTTATTTTTTTTCTTTTCCTGGTTGTGATTAGTTTTTTTCCTGATCATGATTAGTATTTGTCCTGGAGAATGACATCTGTTAGTTTCTCTCATTATAGCTTTATGCCAGAAATGGTGGAGGATATACTTCCCTATGTAAAGAAAGATTTCTGATGCTGACATGCAATGAAGAAAGAGTAGCAGCAGGATAAAACCAGATTTGTGAGTAGTTAGTAAATGGGATGGTTTTGTTTCACTGATCTTCATTACTGGTTAATTGCTTTGCAGTTGCTGAGTCCTGGAGAGTTGTGAGCATATTCCCATATCATGCATGTTTCACAAATCAACATTCAGACCAGATGGAAATGGATAAAGAACAGTCATTTTGTATGTTTCTCAAAAAAAAAGAAAAAGATTAAAGTAGGGGAGAACATTTATTTGAACTGTGGAATTCATTGCTGTGTGAGGTCGTGAGTGCTGAAGATGTACCTGCACTGCTAAGGCAACCTAGACTTGTTTTATTAGTCACTGAGGGAGGGGGTTACAGGCCTGGGTCTTTCAGTGACACATGTCACTACAGTGTTCTTATGGGTCATTAGTTACAGGATGCCAGTCATGCTTCAAAAGCAGAAATTGTCCCTAATGTCTGACTTGTTCAGTAATGAACTGGGATTCTCCACAGAAAATCTGTGAGAGAAACAGATCATTAACTACATTGTATAAAACTCCTGATTTGCCCCCAGTGACTTAATTGATAGAGGAAAAGACACATTCCTCAGTGAACTAAAGACAAGAAAAATATAAATTATACATTTGCAGAGTACAATGACCATTTTATCTGACTCTCCCTGTGATCTAATAAGGTTTTGAGAAGACATACATGCAAGCTTACGCTAGGAAGCAGTGGATGTTAGGATTTGATATTTAATCCAAAAAAAGCACTTGTCAACAAAATATCCCCAAGAAAGTCCCACTACTTTAGGAAGGGATCTAAAACGTTTCTGTTTACTTTTGCAGAGGCCAACCAGCCTCCAGTAACCACCAATAACCTTCCTGCTCCACCAGCTGAGCCAAGAAATGTCTCTGGGACAAGCTGGATCCATTTGCATTGAGAACATATGAGCATGGTGCTCAAGCTAAATGGAAAAAACTAAAATATTTCATGACACAGGGTCCCCCTGGCTCTTAACTTTTTCTGTGTTAGCTTTTGCAATTTTCTTTCACCACTGAAACAGATTAATTTTGTCAGAGTTTTTCCTTACAAGATGTCTCCTCCGCTGTGTTCTGTGACTTTTCTTGCTTCCTCTTTAGAAATAGCTGCCATTCCCTGAAAAGATTCCTACTCTGGGTGTATAAACCTGTCAAAAATGAACACATCTGGGGGTGTAAGAGCTGGGAGTTGCTATGTTCTTCTCTCCAGGCACAGTGTGACTTTGTTGTTGTATATTAAAAACAGCAGCTGTTGTTGGAGGTGAGGGTTCTGGAAATGAAAAGCATAATGTCCTAATTACCTATGGCAGGGAAAACATCTGTGTGGGAAAACTAATGAAATTAATTCCAGAGCTTAGCAACTGAATACATTAATTGACATTAATTAATTCTAAATTACAAACCTTTGCCAATGGAGTCACATGAAATGTCCGCAAGAATGAAATGGAAAAAATCCTTGAGTTAATGTGAACACAGAAAATCTTCCCCTAGGAAAACAAGTGAGAACCAGGCACTGCAAGAAGCCTGCTTTTCCTTCTTTCTGTCTCCTGTAGCAAAAGGAGCTTTTCTTGTCGTGCACATCTCAGTGTTTGGCTGTTTGGGAGATTAGCTTAAGCAATTTCAGTGCTCTGCCCTTTAGTACTTATTCCTGGCATTTTGGAATTGAAGCCATGGAAAATTGCACTGTAAAAGTTCACAGGAATTGCCTTAGTAAATCTTCATCAATGATACAATCACTGCTGCACAGACTCCTGTGATCACAGCAGAAACAGGGATAGTCCCCATTCCTCCATTAAAGCGGGATCCAAAGAACCTCAGTCTCCTCTAATGGATGCCAACCTGGCCTGCTCTGTAAAATGTCTTGTGGAGGAGATTCCTTAATCCCCAGACTTTTTAACAGCTCAAGTGGCAGAAGGACCATTTCAACTGAGGCTGCTTCGCTGAAGCTCAGGACTGGCACATATTTCACTCAGGAGCTTTGTTGTGGCAGAGTGGGAGACCCCTCCTGGAGTTCTGTGTCCAGCTCTGGAGCCCTCAGCACAGGAGAGCTGTGGACCTGTTGGAGCAAGTCCAGAGGACACAAAGGTGATCAAGGGCTGAAACTGTTCTCCATGTGAAGGCTGACACAGCTGGGCTTGCTCAGCCTGGAGAAGAGAAGGCTCCAAGGAGAGCTTTTTGTGACTTTCAGCCCTCTTAGGACAAGGAGGGGACATGCTGCACCACACTGCAGTGTTGAGAGACTGTCCCCCTGTCCCCCTCCTTCCTGGCTGCAGAGGAGCAGAGGGCTGAACAGCTCTGAAAGGGAACTTTTCTGAGCTCACAGGAATGAGCAGGCTGGGAATTACGTGGTTCCCTGCCCTCTCGTGGCTAATGTGGAAAAAATCATGTCCCTCTGAAGGAAAATGCATTTCCATCATGCTGCCCAGGCTGTGTTCATTAATGATTCGCAGTGAGCTGCGAAAGCATAAAATGTTATAAACAGCAGCAACTAATAATACTTAGCACTTTATATATTCCAAGAACCCTGCAAATGCCGGAGAAAAATCATCTCTCATCAAACTTTCCTGGAGGTTCGTTACCCTGCATGTCTGTTTCAAGCAGAAGTCAACAGCCCTTAGAAGCACAGAAAGAAATGTCAAATGATAGATTTTAATTAAAACCAAGATTAAATACAAGATGGTAAAATTCCAGCCATTTCTATTTCAGTGTAAAATGCTTTTTCTCTGATCTGAAGATGGTAATTATATCGTACAAGGGGCTGTGTCTCTCCAAGGAAAACGATTAGAAGTACTTCTAACATTAAATGCAATGTAGTGTTTCTGTCATGTAAGTACTAATGTTAAAAAGCCAAAATTGTTCCTTGTGTGAATCAGGTTTGTCATAAAACAAAGTGCAAATTCTTAATGAATCTGGAAGAGTCCAAACAGATTATGGAGAATCTGGTTCTGTATTCTAGGATAAATTGTCCCTATGAAGAAATTAAAATTGTTTTTCTTCAGTGACAGATTATGAGATGAGCACCTTGCAGTGCTTCAGAATAGGAGGTGGGGACATCCCACATAGTGACAGTGAATGAGATGGCTTGCATGGCTGTGAGATGGATGGCTGCATTTAGGCCATTTAATTTGAAACTGCTAAGACTTCTAGTTACAAGAGAGTGTGGAATGATTGCCCAGGTCTGCCAGAGTGTATCTACCTGTGCTGTCAACAGAGAAGTAGTTGAAACCCCTGAAGAAGAGTTGGTCTGAGGTACTTTCCAAGTTGATCTGAATTACTCTACAGAGTGTAAGTGCTGTAGGAAATACAGAGGTGCATCATAGAAGGTTCTTCCTTGGTAAAAATGTATAGCTCTGATCTAGGGCAGAATGAAGAAATAATGGGAGGTTGAGACAGGTAAAGAAGGAAGGATATTAAAGGAAGAAAGTAATCAAGGGTGGATTTACAAAGGATGCAGGGGAAAGAAGGGTTGTGTGGTGTTGAATGGATGGTGTCAATTCCCTTTACATGGATCTGTAAAGTGCCACCTCAGCAAACAGGTTTATGATGGTAGGAAGAATCTGCACTCAGGATCTCAAGTGTATTGTTTCTGTTCTTTTCCTTTCAGATGCCCAATACATCACCTGCAAGATGCAGAACTGCAGCGAAGCCACTCGCAGCAAACCCTTTCCAGGCTACATTGACCATAACTCCCTGATCGTCCAGGGTGATTATGTCTTTGTTCAGGTGCAGAACACCCTCCTCTCTTATTTATTCTGTTACTTTATATTATTATATCATTCTGTCTCATATTATTTTTTCTTGCATTCCTTTGCATGTGTGTGCATGTGTGTTAGTTTGCAACTGCTCAGCCAGCACTGGATCCATAGAGGCCCTGAATGGGTCGTAGCAGTTTGTTACAATTCTAACTGTGTTCCTTTAAACTCTAGTTCCTTGTTGCTGTAGGGCCATAGAGTTCCTGCCTGAAGTATATTCTCTGTACTGGAGTGCTCTGTGCCACTCCTTGCAATCTCATCAGCACTCTGGAATTACTGCTTTAACCCCCCAGCTGGAAGTGGTGTGTCACTCATCTGCTATTACAAGGGAGTAGACCAAAGCTTTTTTGAGTGTAAGAGGGAAATAAGGAAGAAGGGAGGGAGTAAGGGAAAGCACCAAAGGAGTAATCAGGCTTTATTGTTATGCCTCAGTTGTGATTATAGTGAAATGGCAGAAGATGGGATGTGCTCAGCCAGGCTGTGCTCCAGGTGAGAGCTGGTGAATAGATTTGAACCACTGTGGGTTTCATTAGGCTGCTGCCAGTGTCCATCTAATGTCAGCTGAAGAGGAGAAAAATGACAACAGAATTGTAGGGAATGTGGAGGTGAACTGGAGATCACTAGCACTAAACTGGGCTTCCAGACAGTTTATATTTTAGCATGCTTGTGAGTGGAGGGAATAGAGAGAATTTATATTTTACATTGCGTTAGTTGATTGCTAATTGGCTTCAGTTAATGAACTCAGTCTTAAACACCAGTCTAAATAATCCACAAATAAATCTGGCACGTATGCTTCAGAACAGCTTTTGTGCCTGGTGTGGCTGAGGCAAAAGGGAAATGTTTATGTGGCAGGGAAATCAGGGCTGTGCATCGCTGTTCAGCCACACTCTCTCCTCCAGAGTGGATGTGTGTTTGTGCCTCGACTGACACAGGAGCTGCAGTGTTTCTCTTTAGCCATCCTGGCTGATGCTGGATCTGGTGTTACCCTTCTGTTCTTCAAAGGATGAATGACCCTATGCCAGGCTGTGTCTTCTACCCTTCCTTCTTTCCTTGATCTCCATCTGGCTTTTCTGCAACTAAGCCGTTTGGAATTAATTAGTAGGCTTAAATGCACTAGGATAAAGGAATGGGAGTTTATTTTCCCACTAAACTTGTTTTATTTACAAACTCACACTCTCTCATTAAAAAATATTTCTGGCCTTCCTTCCCCTAACTTTTGCCCAGTTCCCTTAAAAAAATGTTGAAAAACTTTAGAATGAGAAATAGTGCTTATTTTACTTAATCTGGTATGAACCTGGCCTCTGTGTGTCTTGCATTTTAAACTACTGCAGTGTATTTTAAAACACTTACTACTAAAGAAAATTCTTGATAAGCTCAGGTATCAAGCAATTAAAGCAAAGTTCTGCACAGAGAATCCTTTGGAATATTTGTTCTTCAGTATCTTTCATCCAAGGATTTCAAAGTACTTTACAAACATTGATTATACTTCAGCAGCACTGGAAACCAGAAAAAATTGACAGCTTTTTTCTTTCTTTTTCCCTCCTTTAATAGGTGGTAGAAAATGATATCTCACATTGCTCTAACCCAGCATTTTCAAGGTCTGCCGTCAGTATTTAGGTGCATAAATATATGACCAGATTCACGAAAATACCAAATCGAACAAGCTTCTCCTGCCCTCCCTATCTGTGAATATTTAGCTGATCTCATAGCAGATACCTATGATGGCTTGTCCAGGGCCACACAGGAGCCAAAGCTGGAAGCAGAAATAAAAATCAAGCCTTATGTCTGCCAATCTGCTGGTCTAATCAACAGCCTCCAGATAGCAAAGGACAGAGAGAGTTCTGGTGAGGCACAGGAGAGCTGTGCTATCAGGAGGTGACATAATGGTCCAGCTGAAGTCAAGACTTCACTATTCACAAGTTTCCACACGAGATTCTAGACTTTGTCTCTCTTTGCTGAAAATGAGATTCCTCTTGTTTTCTTTTTCAGTCCCTGTCAGTTGGATCAATGTTTATTCCTCAGCTGTAACAGTGCTGCAGTTTAAGCTATTGCCACCACACTGTGGTATTTCTCTTAACAGCTTTTGCTTGATATTCTTCTGGTAATAAAAAAAAAAAAAAAAAAAAAAAAAAACCACAAAAAGAAAAACCTGATGATAACTTTCCTGCTTCTCTCATAGCTGACATCAGGAGGAAGACCACATTATTACGTTTCTTATAGGAGGAGCCCATTTGCACAGATGAAGCTGCCAAAGTACTCCTTGCCCAAGGTAGGTTGCTGCTGCTAGAATCCCCATATGAGCCTACAGACATTTGGGTTGCACAGAAGATCTTGAGTCCAACACAAGTAAGTGAAAACAGTATTCTCCCTTAACAGAACTTTTGCAAGCAAGAAGGGACTAAAAGCAAAAGTCAGCACTTTGGCTGGCCAAGGACATGAGCATGAAATGTAGGCAGATACCACAGCCCACGTCAATTACCATTTCTTTATGCTTAATTAATTAAGTTTTGGATGGGATTCTCTCTCTCTTTTTTTTTTTTTCTTTTTTTTTCTTAAAATTCCTCTCTCCTCTTGCTGTCTTGTATGGGTTGCTTTTTATGCTTTGCCTCATTAGTAGATTTTAATGGGAACCAAGCAGAAAGATGTCTCTGTGTGCCTGCTCTGTCTCCAGCCTAATTAACAATGGTGAATTAGCACTGGAGATCGAAAGGATATTTCTGCCTTCTGAAACGGAATTTTTTTAAAGACCTGTATAAAATGTTAGCTTCATTTTGAAGAAACCACCAATTTGCAGCTGGTATCCTAATGGGTTCTTAACAAAGACAGAGGATTTTTTTTTTTTTGGCCTTTTCATTCTTGATATAGTCTGTCTTAAATGAGATTTGAGCTGAAAGGTAGCAAATGATCCTATGGGTTCTATATGAGGTCTAACATCAGAAGACAAATGCATTCCCAGAAACTAAGCAGGGATTGTCAAAAGGAAAAGAAAAAGAAAGAGCAAGGTCAGATTTTGTAGGTGGAAATGTTCAAAGGGATAACTTGGCTGATTTCACAACTGACTGTCTTTGATTCCTCAGCCCAACAGACCTGTTTGTAGTAGATTGACTGGGTGACCTTCATATAAACAGACTGCAGTTCAAACCCAGCCCTTTGGTGCCTCACCTTCCCTACTCTGCTGTTGGAGCCTTTACTCCTGTTCACAGCCCTGGAAACCAGCTTGCAGGACAGTGAGGTCCTCACCAGAAGCCATGAGATCTTAGCTCTTACACAGGAGACCTGTGGTCTGCCTCAGAATTTTCAGCCACATGTTAAGATACTTTGAAACTTCCTGCCCAAGCAAGTGAAAATACTCTGTAAATTCACATCAGATTTAAATAGATGTTATTTGAAAGAGCCCTTAGCAACGGAGTTGCATTTTAGCATGGTTATTGTAAAAGCCAAATAAAAATTGTTATTTACAGCCAATTCAGACCATCTGTAGAAACACTGTTTGCTTTAAACTTATTGTTTCCTTTAGCTCACACTTATTTTTTGTCCACCTTGTCAAAGAAATCACTGGAAAGCCAGGGACAATGTGCTAGAGTTAAATTACAATGTGTTCCAGAGAACAGGAATTGGAGCAATATATTCATCTTATTTGACCCAACGAAAGATGCTTTGTCACAATCTCGGAATATCTTCAAAGTCTGAAGAGCTGCATTTGGCTTGGAAGGAGCTGCAGTGGAACTGTGGCTGTCTAGGAGGCTGCCATCAAAGCAAAATAGTCACTTTTATGAAAAATGCACAGAGAGTTATATTATTCAAGGAATTGGAACATACAGCTTCTTTTATGCCCAAATTCTCTTTCATCTCCTTCAGCTAAGAAAGAGGGGCCAAATATGGTAAACAGTACTAAGTGCCTTCTGGAATTGAAGGTGGAAATATCAAGCTTTTTGTCTCTTTGTGTCACTCTTACTGAACTGGAGGTGTGTGATGGCAGGCAGCCTTGGCAGGTGATGCTGCTGCTCAGGCAGGATGGCCTACAGCAAATCAAACTAAAATATTATTCTTGTTGACATTAGCAGCCTTGTAGCTGCTTTGATTAAAAGCCTAAATAAACTTGAAACTGTTCCGTTCAGGCAGAAGCCTGCATATGTGCGCACAGGTTGTGTTAACCCTGTAAATAGGCTTTACTGAGACCTCTTAATTGTTGCAGTGATGTTGATCTGTGGGTTGATGCTGCTTGTTCTGTACCACAGCACCACAATATGAGCTGTGTCATACTCTGGTGTGCACACAGGGTGCATTTGCTCCAGTTTAGACCAATGCACTGGGTAGGCATTTGAGAATGCTGAAGCAAGTCAAGCAATTTCTTTTAAAAACACCTATCTTAATTGGTATTGGGTTGAATAGGGATGCGATGGGTGCATCTGGTACCTCTGTTTTAAATTCATCACCTGCTTTCAACCTCAGGATGTACATCCTGATGGAAGAAGCAATAACAAAAATAAATACATAAGAATACAGATCTTAAAAGAGCTGACAGCCCCAGTAATTTCACAGAAGGCAAAGGCAGGAGCCAGCATCTTCACAGGCATTTCACAGAATACTCTTGAGTTGGAAGGGACCCACAAGGATCATCAAATCCAACTTTTAAGTAAAGGGCCTTTATGGGGAATGATCCCACAACCTTGTTATTAGCCCCTGACCAACTGAGCTGGCAGAACAAAACTGGCATTACACATCCCTACTACTTACCTTGCCAGGAGAAAAGTTCTCTAACCAAATGCAAGAGGGGCAGTTATTTAGTAATTCAGAAAGCCTTGGCTTTTAGTCATTTGAGGAGACACCTGATCAAACCCATGTGCAGCATCATCTTTTTGTCTTTGAAAAGGCAAAAGTGACAGATAGTAGAACTGTATATTAATATACTTCCAGTATGTTCTGGAACAGAGAGAAAAAAGCTCAGGCTCTAAGTAGACAAATGCAAGGGGAGACCCTAAAGGTGATGATGTCTGTTTGAGACAGGTGCCTTGCTTCACATTCTTGTCCTCTTCCATCTCTGTAGGGAACTTGGGCTATATCAAGATGAAGGCTGTCTTTCCTCCCTACCAAGAAATTAATCCCCACCCTGAAAAAAAAAAAAAAAACATAATAAGATATGCTGATTAATTTTAATTTTCCCAGTGTGGAAATGAAGAAAATCCAGATGCTGGTCCAAGATCTGTTTGATGTCCATATACTAATACTTTCCTATCAAAGCTGTGCATCATTGCTGCATCTATTGGACAAGGCCATATTAAGAGGAAAAGTTAATTTATCCCCAAAGGCAAACAGTTGGAATGTTATCATTTTTGGCTTTCTGCATTACATATATTACGCCAATTCCATCTCAGTCTCTGCTTCCCTAGGCTTAAATTCCTTCAGCCTTACTGGAATTTTCTTTAGACTTCCATCTTACAGCATGCTCTGATCAAATGCAGGAAGCATCAAGTGAATAAATTAACTAATTTCCTTCAGCATTTGTGAAATTGTCTTTAGCTTCCTGTGGTGTTGATCAAAGTATCTTTTTACCCCTCTCCCCCAGTTTTTACAAAACTATTGAATGAAATGGTAAAGTAATGAAAAGGTACATTCACCAGGCAAAGCAAGTTTTACTTTATGTTTAAATGCAGAAGCCTGCCCATGTGTGCCTATATGCAGAAATCGACACTTGTGATTAGAGCTGTGCTAGCCAATGTTGCCTGGAGCACACTGGGAACACCTGCTGATGTAGATCTACCAGCAGATTGAACCAGGGTGACAGTCTGAAAAGAGGAGCCACAGACAAACAGCTGTGGCTGTAACTCCTACTGGCACAGCTGGAGCTGAGAGAGGATGTCTGTTCACCACTAAAATTAGTAGGACTCTGTGGGACTTACATTACTTTTCCTATTGCCTTGGGAATTAAGCCAATCTGTTCCTTTACAAAATGAGCCCATCTTCTGGGACATGATTTTCTCCAGTGCAAAGAAGAAAGTAAATCAAGTGCACATTCATCCACTCTGTATTCAGATCCAGATGAACAAGCAACTGTTCTGAATTGTAACTCCATGGTGAATCCACTTTCAAATTTATAGATCAAATTTCTTCATTGTATTACTTTTTTATTTCTACATTACGAGACTTCATCTGGAAGTATTAATCCTCCCTAAAAAGCCACCAGACACTGAATTTTCAAAGACTGCTGTTAGCAGAAGGGAGAAGTAGCATCTGCTTCCAAAGTGTATATTTTCTGATAAAGTTCTCAGTTTTGCATATAGAAAGTCCTGGCTGAGATTCATGGAAGCAGAATAACTTTGGGATATCTGCCCAAAACAGACTGAAAAGCTGAGTCTTCTGGGAATCACCTGGTGCTAAGAAATCTTCATTTCTTTTCCTACCTCCACAGATTTTTATGGCACCAAAGAACTCAGGGTGCCTGTGCTGGGCAGATAGAGCCTGGGAATTTCATTATAACAACCTCTCTCTTGGTGGCTTTTTCCATTGTAATGGAAAATAAAATAAAATGGGTAATAATTTCTCCAGGCATTAAAAGATGAGATCAGGTTCAATAGTTCCTGTTTTTTCTTCACTTATGCAGTCTTATCATTGCCTCCTGCCTGCTGTAACACAGAGAAGAAGCAGAGTAAAACAAAACCTCACTCAAGTGCTAGTCATCTAGCTACATTTCTGTTCTTTATTTCTAGTGAGGACAAGGGTTGCTTTTCTGTTTTATTTTCTTAGGGTGTGCTATCTAGTATAGTGGTCCAGGGCCTTGGCGCCTGCCCACATTGTCATTAGAAACAGTAGATAGCAGCAGATGTTCCCTCATTAGTTCCTACTTGTATCAGGTCCTGAGCATATTTGGCTTCTGAATTCTGGGCAAGAAGCAGATGTTTCAGATGGTCTTTTTTTTTAAAATTTTTTAAATTTTTTTTCTTAATTTCCTACATTTTTTAATATTTGTGATTCCATAGTCATGAGTGGAATCACTCAAATGCTAAACGGAAAAAAACACAACAAATAAACAACCCTCCCTCTTCCCGAGACAAAATATTCATTAAAATGAAAGTGTTGGTAAGAGGAGTGAAAGTGCTGCTGTATAATGCTGTAGTGCCAATGTAAATGTTCAATTAGCACCTCATCAGTTAATTACTACTTTGAAAATTGGCAAAAGAGAGCTGGTGTAAAATATTCCTGGATGGAATTACTTGCTTACAGTGGCTGTGGACAATAAAATAGTAAAATGCCACAGTATTGTCTACTGAGTTCCCAATTAAACTCCAGCCTAAATATATCCCTTGCTCCTCCCCACTTACTTTGGTGCCATTGGAAATGGCAGCACAGAGCTCCCCCAAGTAATCTGCCTCTCTTTTCTTTCCCCAGGACATGCATGTTATCAGCACAGATGAGAATCAGGTGTTTGCAGCTGTTCAAGAGTGGAACCAGAACGACACGTACAATCTGTACATCTCTGACACCCGAGGGATCTACTTCACCCTGGCCTTGGAAAATGTCAAGAGTAGTCAAGGGCTGGAGGGGAATGTGATGATTGACCTCTATGAGGTATGTCATAACTCCAACATCTCATTGCTGTCTCAGGAGCTCACATGATGCAAATTTCCTCCTTGCACATCAGCCTCGTAAAATGCATGTGAACAGCAAAGCCAACAAATGACTAAACACAGAGTTTTACCCTTCCTAGATTTACTGCTGTATTCACCAGTAGGTTCTCAGGTGAGGAACAGCTCTTGGCTCTTTGATGCATAGGAAGAAGTTGTGGAAGAGTTCATTTAGTTGCTAAGAGGAACTCCATTAGTCAGCCAAAATCCTGCTTGGACCCATGTTGGCTCTATGGCTCTGAAAGCTCCCAAGAGTCTCAATATTATCACTCTCCAATTTTTGCCGCATTTCTGGCAATCTAATCTTTTGTTGCAGAAGAGATTGCTGTTTTCAGCTGTCCTTGTCACCTTTCTCAGCTTGGACTGTTCTGCAAACTTGAGTGGTTATAGATATGCCTTCTTTGGCTGTCCCATGAGCATGGAAACTCTCGTACCTCGTTTTGATGCCCTCTTTACCCTGAGCTTTTTTCTGAACAAGTGTGCTCTGCTTAAGCTCACGGTAAAAATGCCAATTTGCATTGTCTTCTATGACAATTGATCCTAAGAGTAGTGTGCCCTTGTTCATCTCTTGCTCTCCTGCCTGTTTTTCCTCTGGAGACAAGCACTCAGCTGAGGAGAAATTCATTCCTCAGCTGCCATTCTGAAGGTCAGGTTCTGTTTTCAGGTCTCCTCCAGGGTATCTTCTGACCATTTAGAATAAAGGTTGTAAAGTAGATCTGAGTGCCTTTGAGGATGATGATGTTTCCTGTATTTCCCCATCACTGTCTCAATATTGGCTGTGCTCTGTAGTTTTCCTTCAGCTGCCCTCTACTTGGAAACCACCTTGAATTGTCCAGAGATCCCAAGAGTTATACATCAGTGCAGATGGACTGGAGGAGGATGGGCACTGCCATTTCAGTCACTTAGACATTTTTTACCATTAATCTCTCTGCAGTGCTGGCAGCCCATGGAAAAACTGTTGCCTCTTATTACTGTCAGCTGGGGAAGCAGCTTTACTGCATTATGTAAAGGTGTCCTACATCCCAGGGGGTAAAGAAAATCCTTTGTTTTGTTTTATTCATCTGACACCACAAGGCAACCTGGATTGAAATTGATGGAATCAGACTTACAGCATCATAGCTGCTGAGCATCTAGATAGAAGGAATATTGGCTGACATGGAACCTGGCACAAACCTTCCTTTCAGTTTTATGTTCTTGCTGGAAGAGAACAGAGCCAGCATGGTTCTCTGAGTCAGATTGTTACAGTGATCATGGAGAAAATGGAGAGGAAGGCAAGAAAAGGAAAAAAAAAATCCATAGATAAATTAAAAGTAAGTAGAAAGATTGCCAAAAGAGTCCTTCTCTGGTGGCAGCAGTGTATTTTAAAAAGCATTAGAGAAGATGCCAGAGAAAGGCCTGTTTAATGTGCAGGTGTCTGTGTGCATGTTTGTCAGGTCTTAGAAGTAAGTTCTTCTGGTTGCATTGTAGTGAACATGTTTGTGTGTAATTCCTGAGCTGATTCTAAATCAAGAATAAATCTGCTCAATGGTGCGAAGCAGGGAATTAGACTGGGTACACAGAAATAAAAATTCTTTCTTGGTGTCTCCTTGAGGTCACAAAAAGGCTGTCCTAGTGACCACCTCCTAAAGTGAGGGAAGAGCTAAATCACTGACCACTGTGTCTGAGTGCCCTTCCTAGTTCCTGTGTCTGCCCGGGCTCTGTTGGAATGGTCCATAGCAAGAGTCCTGCCTGTGACAATCCATGACTGAGGTGATAACAGACTGTGAGGAGGTGTGTCTATAGCTATGGTATGTGTGCCTGTCACTCTGGAACTTACTTTTTTCCTAGCAGTATGTATGTTAGCTGAGAAGTATGATGAATGAAGGTGGTGATGGCGAGTGAAAAATGTCTTAAGAGTTATGTGCTCAAGTGTCTTGTATGGATCTTTCTGAAGCTGTAGAGCAGCATTAGTATCTGCACACAATGCTTTCAGGGTGGTGAGGATTCTACAGTTCCTGTGGGGGAGCTGATGGAGTGCTTTCCTCTCTGACCACTGTTAGTCATGCACTTGCTTGCCTGTGTCTTTCTCTGCAATGGCTGTGTGAGCAGCAGGGCTGAACAGCTTCCTGTGTGTGTCAGGGCTGTGTAGGTGCAGTTGGTCTGTCTCTTCTGAGAGTACACAAGTATGTGTGTGCAGTCTTTTTTTAAGATAAAGCTGTCCAAGACTGACAGAATAACTTTGCTTTCTCAGAAAAGGATTCTGAGTACCAGCCCATGACTAGAATCATAAAAAGAATAAAAAATATATCAGGATCTCAGAATACTTTTATTGCTCAATATATAAAGTGCTCTTTAATCATTTATGGCCAGCGTTTCACAGGGACTATATAACAGAATAATTTTGGGACAGCAGCAAAGCAAAGTACAACTGCAACTATAAGCCCTAGCCTCTGGTAGTAAAGGCAGAACTATGTTATTTTGCCATCCCTATCTATTCATGCAATGTCACTGTGAGACAGGAGTACCCTTGTCTTTTCAGGGTGCCTTTCTACTACAACAAAGAAATCCTGAATACTTAGTTGGGTGGGATCAAACAATCCAGCTGGGAAATTGAAAAGGTTATCTTTTCTCTGCTTATATCAACAATGAATTAGTTAACTATTTAATTGAAAGACTATTGCCCTTTATAGCAAGCCATGTCAAAGTCTTTATGATCTTCAAATGAAATTCAGGAAGGTGCTATTTGAATGACTAAGTACATCACTGTGCTGTACCAAAGCACTGTACACAAGTAGTTTCACAGCATGTGATTTAAAGTGCAGTAAGGTCTTGTTCACTGGTAGCTGTAGCATCCAAATCCAGCCACATAATTAAATGGGTTGAGCTGGAAAAAGCTCCGAATCGGCTGTAACTGTTTGCCAGTTACTGTGTAACTGTTTGCCATGCCATGTAATTTAATCTCTGTGAATAAAAACTCTTTAATGAATGATTCTGTCTTCCAATTCCACATCATAAGCAGAGGTGAGGTGGATGACTGAACAGACTTGCTGGAAACCAAAAAGTTTTACACTTTCCCCCTCCTCCTGATTTCACTTCCCTTTTTATTGCGGCACTCAGGTTGCAGAATGACAGCCTAACAAATTCATTCGCAAGCTGCAGCAGCTATTGGGCTATTGATTTTCAGTGTGCTGAGAAGATGGGAACATTCTGCAGTGTGAGTTGTGGTTTGAGGTTGACTCTTTTTTTCTCCTCACTAAGATACTTTTAGGCTCGGTTCCAATGTGAATCTGTTAGCGTCATGTCTTTGCAAAATCCTCCTGCAGGTCTTGGATTTAAACTGTTGGGTGAAACACCAGGAAAAAGTAAAAGGATGAAGACCTCATTGCCAGCTCTGTAACTAGCATTCTGTACAGCCTTGTTTGAGTCACCAGTGCTTTGGTTTCCTCAAAATACAAAACTGTAACAAAAATACCTCTGTGCCCCGAGTTATCTTGTTGAAACACTGGTAATTATGAAACACATTGAGATCCTTAGATGAAATGTCTGAAGAAGGCTGGATGAGAATAGAAACATTGAAATACAAGTTTATGTGTGTGCTGCTGTTTTCTTCACAAGGCCAAAATTGCTGCTGTTTCCTGCTGCTGCTGTGCAAGACAAAAATAATTGCCTGTACATGTTTCATCTTTCAGGGGAAGAATGCCTACACAGTTGAGAGGTTGTCACTTTACAGATAATGCTGCTGACATCTTGCCATGTTCCCATGATGATTCTGAAATACAGTATTTCTTTCCCATTTGTCATCTTTGCACATGTGATGGCTTTATCTCTTCCCCAGCACCCCAGCTTGCCTTTGATGTACATTAGCAATTCTGGCCCTGACACTGACCACACTGACAGAGCCATCAGAGCCCTGGTGGCTCTGACAGAGAAAAAAGGACATGCACAGAACCTGCATGGACTTGATCTATTTTTCAGCCATGTCAATTTTTCCTAGGTAGCAGGGATAAAGGGAATGTTCTTGGCTAACAAGAAGATTGACAACCAAGTGAAAACTTTCATCACCTACAATAAAGGGAGAGACTGGAGTTTGCTGCAGGCTCCACACACGGATCTGAGGGGAAATCCCATTCACTGTCTTCTAGTAAGTACCTGAGGGGGGAATTTGGGGGGTGGTAATACCCCAGAACAACGTTTTTCTACCAGGTAACACAACAAATAGAGGGCAGCTCTCCTCTTCATGCAGTGTATCTCACGGAGTGCAGTGCTTCAGGCTTGGACTGCCAGGAGTTATTGCATTGTAATTTAGGTTGATTTAATTTGATTTCTGGAACAAATTGTCGATCAGGTGCGTTGTGCAGAAGTGCTGTGTCCCCTGGAAGAGCAGGGGAAGCTGGATGCCATGCCTGGCAGTCGGTTCTCTGGACACTAGGTGGGAGGCGAGAGCTGCTGTAGCTCAGAGCTCAGAGGCGCAGTAACTGGAAACTGAAAGGAAAAGAGAGCTGGGATTGCTTTCAGGCTGCTCTGTTGGCATTAATAATTATAAACATTCATCATTTTCTCTTTGAGCTCATAAGTGAGAATCGACACATTCATCCAAATACATGTACAGCTTTGTGTTGGTGTAAATTGTATCCATCTCTGCACTTACTGATACAGATCCACATATAGCTGTGTCCTTAATCATCATTATATGCAAGCACTTTCCAAGAGGGAGAGTGAAATATAAGTAATGTGAATAGAATTGGAGACCTCTATGAAGTTAGAGAGCTTAAATGATCTTGACATATTTTTCAGCTGATACAATCTATTCACAGTAGTGGGATAATACTCAGAACCCCTGTATTTGGGATTCTCAATAGCTTTCATATTATACTAATTCTAATATGGTTCCAGGCAGAATCAGGGACACTATTTAGGTTGCTCTTACTGTTCCTGTCCTGTATTTGCATGTTGTTTTCCATCTGAAAAAAAGAAAAAAAGGTTTCTCATTTTGAGGCATTAGAATCTGAATCAGCATTATATTTTGTAGCTGAATGCTACACTAATCTCTTAACTGAATGTCATGCAATATTGAAAGAGCAAAAAATAAATATTTGAAGCTGCTCAAATTGATTTTTTGATTGAGCCAAAATGCAAGTCCTTCATTTTCTGTCCAGTTTGGAAAAAAATAAATAGGAAAGACTGGGGGTAAGACAGAAGGGTTATGTCAGAGCATGACTAAATTTGTTTGGGTTTGTTTTCTTCTTTCAAATTTTTAAAAATTGTAGCTAAGTGAATATTAGATATTTCTATGTGAAATATTTTGGTGAAAACCAAAAAAGAGGCATGCAAAAAACTTGGCAGGCATAAGGCAATTCAGTTCTTTGGAAGGGACTATGTAAAGAAGCCTTTGTGTTTCAAATAGATTGTGTAATCTAATTTTAACTCAAGTGAACATATTCAGTAAAAACTGACATTTTGACCTTCTCAAATTATAACCAATTTAATCAGAAACTCAATATTTTTATTATATAATATTATAGTATAATATTCTAGGGGACTGGCAAGGCAGAAGAACAAAAAAAAATGCACATAGGCAAGTAAAATAATAAAAGTAGACTTTTTTTTTTTTTCCCCATAAATTTGAAGTTAGAGTTCTGAAATCGCTTTCCTGGTATTTTTGTGCACTGATCATGCAAAGTCTGACTTGCCAGTCTGGTTACAAGTGAGCCAGTGCTGCTGATCTGTGTGGCCCTTATGGAACAGTTCTTTGCAGGAATTGGGTAGTTTATATACAAGGTATATTTTATATACAAGGTATATTTTATATACCTGCCACTGTCATTGCCCACTATGTAATGGAAGGGGTCATATATCAGTGTGTGAAAGAGAAATGGACAGGTCTTATGGGGGAGAGAGCTATGGCTCCCTTTAAGCCTTCCCATCCATAGTGTATCTGCTACTATATCCATGGGCGGAAAATACAATAAACTTCATTTAAAATTAGACCAGATATGCCTGAACAAGCTGGGTTCCCTTGGGGGTGATAAATTTGAACAAGCCAGACAAAGGGTCAAGAGGAGGAGCAGAAAGTGTGGGCACTTGTAGGCAAACAGTGAGAACTGACCTGGAGAAGCTCATGGTTCTCTGGGGATTGCATTTCCATCCTGGGAGCTCCCCTGTGCATAAACCACTATTTAAACATTAGCTTGTTTTTATTTTGCTCTCTATGCACCCATGTACTTGCTCTGAGAATTACTTCCACCTGGGCAAGCTCAGTGGATGTTTGTAATGCTGTTCACATTTCTTAAGTGCTCTGTGGCTTGAGCTGGGGTGTAGGAATTGTTCTGTGATTTCAGGGTGCTAAGGGACAAATCCTCAATGGACTTTAACTTTGTATCTCAGTCTTTGTCCTTTCAGGAGAATGGAAAGTATTTTATCAGCACTGCCCTGTGAGTATTTAGCAGTGTTGATTTTTCCCCTTCCCCTAACATTGGGTAAAACAGGCAAGAGGCCTCTTTCATTGCTTAAGCACTCCCCCATGTTTAGGCTTTCAGCAGCTTTTGGAATGGCAGAGGGGCAGGAAACCTCAGCTCAGCATGCAGAGTCTCAGGTGGTCAACTTGCAAATTTGAAAGAAAGCAAATAGCTGAAATCTGAGCTAAATTTACTCATTAGGTTTTACAGGAACAGAGAGTCTGCCTCCATATAAAGGGAGGGGTAGAAGTACAGAAAATATACCAAACCACAAAATGAAACAGCAATTCTGCAAGAGAGACAAGCCATTTAAAATTCCCATCTGAGGTTCACGCTTAGTGGTGGGGAGGATGAAAACAGAATATGGAATGAAAAAATTATAGAAATTATAGAGAATAAACCACAGAAGTTGGGAGTGGTAGGAAAGTTTTTGAAGCACAAGCACTCTAAGTTTACATTCCTGGAAGTAAGTCAGGCATCCATAAGGGTTTTCTGCTGAGGAAAAATGCGGAGAAAAGGAATTTTTCCCAACTCTGAGGCAATTCTGTTCCTTGTCAGTGTGACATAGCTTAGCATTTAAAACACTTCACAAACTCCACTCACCTCTTCAGCCACCCCTGCATCACTAGTTTTACCTCCTTATGTCAATTGCTCCTTTTCCTTCTAGACATAACTGTTCCTGACATGATCCTGCTTTTCCTTATGGCACAGATAAGTGAATTCTTCATAGTCCATTGTACATGTAGTTTAGCTCCCATCCTTGCTGCACAGCAGATACTAATGCTTTCCCACTGCTGCTTTGCAGCATAATTGTCTCCAGCAGTAGCTCAGGACTCAGCAATGACGTATGTTCCAGCTCATTGGCAAAATGGGATCTGCCATTTCCCAGAGTGACGGCACTGTCCCCAGCCTGCGAGTGCAGTGCTGTGTGCTCTGTGTATTGCATCTTTAAACCTAAACTAAGTGAGAATTAAAACTGAAGTAAGTACATAGCAGCTAAGTTTTTGGCTAAGGAGGTTAGGAAGGAATCTGGTTGAAGCACAGGGTGAGCCAGACAAAACCATCCCTCTACTGACAGGACACTCGAGGTGGTTTTTCAAAGGGACTCAGAATTTCTTTGCATTCTTTGTGAGACAGCACTAAATAATGAGGGAGGAAAGCAATGAAATTCCATCTAATCCCAGGGTTTTGTTTTTCTTGTTTTTACCACTTGTATTCTAAGATGAATATACTTAATCTTCAGGAAATAGCTGCCAAGGTATTTTATTCCAGAGGTGCTGGTTTAGTTCCATACTTACCATGCCTTGTGAAGTGGTTAACTGAGGAGTAGTTCTGTCTGGCAAGAGATGATCCTCTGCCTGGGAGAGTTAATCGATTAGCTTTCAAGGATGGATTTGTGGTTCAAACACAGGGCTGAATCTCAGGAGAATCTTGATTCAATTTTTGGATCTATCTCCAATTTCCTGTGTGACCTTGGGCAAGTCATATATTTTATCTGTGCCTAGCTTCCCCAGACATCTGTTTATTCCCTCCCACATTTTGTTTGTCTTTTCTATAGGAATTTATAAGGATTTCAGGACAAAGACCCTCTTCTCATAAAGGGGGACCTTTATGCCATCTGCTACAGAGTATTTTAAGCATCTAAGTGAGGTGTTTAGAATATCCCTCTTGGAAGTGTTTATCTCTTTTCATTGTTCCTTGCTATTGCAGGTGAGCAAATACTGTGACTACCCCTAGGTTTGTGAATGGTGGCCAGCATAATCTTTGTGTTATATATAATACTTTCTCCCGTTTCTGATGAGGGCCAGCCACTAATATCTGGTTTGTATTGTGTCCTGCCATTGGAGACAGTTCAGGTAGACTTTGCAGAACAGCCAAAAGTGGGTTTGTGGATATTGATGAGAAATTTTACTAAGGACAGATGAGCTTCCTGAAGGGGGAGCGTAAGTGTGCTGGCTTGGAAATATTAGGAAGCAAGTAATGAACTCCAGCATGATTGTAAAAACTGTGGCAGTGAGCAGAGCAATGGGCTTTATCACCTGTGCTTTGTCTTCTATCTAGAGTTTAAATGCCCCATGATGTCGTTGCCTGTCCCTTGGTGGCCATGCAGCAGTAGCCACAGATGGGAACAAGGCAATGACAAGGAAACCCAAACCTGTGATTCTGGTGATAATAATGATTTTAGTATCCTGTTGGTTAAAACAAAAAAGACAGAAAAAAATTGATGAAAATTCTGAAAACCAGTGAGATGCCTGTATGTGATTTAACCTATGAGAGATGGGGGAGGAACACAAAAGGACCAGCAGAACACAAAACAGCTGGAAAAATATCTGTTGATGAATATATAAGGACAGGGATGGAGAAGGTGTACAGGGGAATGAGGAAGAGAATGCTAACACAGTCAGGATGTGGGGTGGCCATGGGCAGTAACTTCAGGTGTTTGGCTAAGAGTGGAAAGGTTGGTTTTCACACCATACCCAGTTGTCACTAGAGACTCTAAGCATTACTGCACTCCAACCAGTAAGAAGTCATTCCATTAAAAAGACCATCTGTCTGCTTAGACAGATGGCCTGGCTTTTAATATTGGAGAGATATATTCCATTTCTATATGCTATATCTCTGAAATGAGACAAATTTGAAAGGAAACCTCTGGTAGCACAAAGATTGAATCTTAACAAGGTCTCATCTGAGCTGGGAATTGGCTGAGTTGCCGTTAGGTTCTGTCTTCAAAATGTTGAAGCAGACTTTGAGTATGTTAGTTTTAAAAATATGTTTTCTATTTAGTTTCCCCACAACCTCTCAAAATGTAAAAGGAAAGAGTTCATGCTCTTGCAGTGCTTTTCCACTTCCTGCATTCCTGTCAGCTCAATTTGTTTTCCACTCCCTCCCGGTGCCCCGGGCTGCTCCAGCGGCTGCCCTCGCAAGGCTGTCACTTGGAGTTAGGCTGCTCAGTACATTCCACTTGGCAGCTTGTGCTCCCTGCCCACGTCCCCTTTTCCTGTCTCACATAAGTGAGAGCTCCCATCTCTCCTCAGCACCCTCATTTGCCTTTGCCAGAAGAACCCTCCACAGGGGAATTGTCATTTCAATCATATTCACCTGCTTTGAGGTGGGATGGATAAGTGGTCTTCCTCCAGTGACCTTTGGGACTGGGTCTCCTGCAGAGGAGGCCTGCCAGGCTCTTGTGGCTGCAGATCTAGCCTTTTGGCAGTTGGTGTTATTCAGGAAAACCTGTCTCCTTTGAGCCTGAAGGTCCTTCTGCACAGCCCCTCTTTTCTCTTACAGAGCTGGGCAAGCTGAAGCATGGGCTTTGCTCAGTTCTGCTTCTGTGTGATGTCCACCTTGATTGGGTCAGTTTGCTTTAGGTTTTCTTGCCAGTATTTTTCCCCTGCTCCTCCCTTAGCATGAAGGGCCCTTCATGAGGTTTGAAAGAGAAAAAATTCTGGAAATAAAACCTGAGTGAAGGAAATAGTATTCAGAAATTTTCAGAAAATATCACATTACAGATTTGGAGGGAATTGTAATGGCAGCTTTGAAAATCTGCTTGTCTTACCTTCTAGTTCAGCTGATTTATTCTGTACCACTCGTGTCTTACCTGAGTACCCAGCATACAAAATTAATAGCAAATGGTAAGGTTTCCATGGATGTATTTGTATTGAAAACTTAAAGGTCACATCCAGATGGGCAATGAAGCTTTGCTTTAAACTTGAAATTAACATTTTCCAGTCTTGGTACTACTTGATATTTTCAGAACAGTAATATGTCAAAAAGAGTTAAGAAATGGTAGGAGTTCGTTTTTTGGCGAATTCAGCACCACACCAGTAGGGTTAAATTGCTTCTTTTTCCAGAGATAGCTTGGGTAGTGCTGCTCAGAGTCATTTCATATCTGTGCCAATCTGCGTGATTGCTTCTCACAGAGTAGGAGCCAGGACCTCAGGTAGTCCTTACCATCCTCTGCCTGTGCAAGCCTCAAAGATGTGGTCCTTGGAAAAGGTTTCAGCCTGGTGCATCAGTTTCCCACTGGGAATGGGTTGTGTCAGAGAATGATGGCAAAGCGGCTGTGCCCATCTAAGTGTTACTGAACACAGTGATTAGGAGGAGATACAGAAAGACACTGTAGAAATGGGAGCATACATTGTTGTTTCTGCTTTTTACTTTTATTTCCCCTTTCTCCATAGCCCTATTGCTCCCTTCATCTTCACCTGAAGGTGTCAGACAACCCCTATACCTCAGGAAACATCGCCAGCCGAGACACTGCCCCCAGTATTATTGTAGCTTCAGGTATGAAACATTTAAAAATTGCCTTGTTTGATGTGTAAACCTGGACAAATTCTGGAGGTTGTGGAGGGTGTTGGGTGGCTCTGGGGTGTCACACACCAGTACTGGGAAAGGAGGCAGGCTGTCAAATGAAAATCCTTATGGACCTTCATCTTGTCAATGCTTTTTATGGAAACTGGCCTTCAAGAGAGAGGAGATCAAGTCTAGCCCTCTGCTCCTGTGAGCATAGGATCAAATCAGGGCATTTCCTTTGCATGTAGAGATGTGTAGAGTTGTATATATTTGGTCTTTATATATTTTTTTTCAAACTGAAATGCCTTCCCTCTTCCCCCTTCCCTTTCATTTTCCTCCCAAACCCAGAAATTCTAAAACTGCAAAGTACATAAATACATTTACTCCCCTGATTTGCTTATCCTGCTGTTTCTGAGAGGGTTCCTTCACTAACCAGTGCTCATCTTACAGGTAATATAGGCACTGAGCTATCAGACAATGACATCAGCATGTTTGTTACTTCTGATGCTGGGAACACTTGGAGGCAGGTAAATGACACAGAATCACTGGTTTAAATATGAATCAGGAAATGTCATAAAAATAGATTCAATCTGTCACTTGCTTTTTATTTCATTTGGTTCAGGGTAGCTTTTTGCAAACCTTTTATCAAAGAGTAAACTTTCCTTCTCAAAGGTACGCAGATGTTCAAAGAGAAAGATGAATATTCTACTCAGAGTTTGACTTCAGTTTAACCTCATAGCAAAGAGAACAGAATAAATTAGGAATAATAAGGGGAGAGAAGGTGTTACCTTTTACTGTTGTAAATCCCTTGTGCCGACCAAACTATTTTTCTTTTTGTCCATATACTTACCCAAAAATCAGCAGTTCCACTGGTTTAATTTTTCTCACTTCAGCTGAGACTCACTTCACCTAAGCTGAGTTGTCCAAAGTTTGTTGTCCATATAAATGGATTATTTTGCAGAAAAAATCAAAACGCAGAAAAAGTCAAAATTCAGAAAAAGACAAAATTCAGTTTGCCTTGTTCCAAAGCTGTGGAAAGAGACTGGATGATGAAATTATATCTAGTTCCTAATATTTAGTGGAGTCTCACCTGTTAAGAAATACCCTCTAATGTGTTTACCTTCAGATCAGGAAATTCTGTTATTCCTATTTTTGAATGGGATATCAAGTCTTGGAGAGAAAGAGTAACTTTCTCAGACTAACCAATGCTGCTGTATAGACTTTAGAGCAGATGTTTGCAGGAAGTTATTACAAAAAAGACACAGGGAGAGAAAATATTTTCCAATATTTGATAATCCAAGAATCTAATTATTTTACAGTGTTTGACCAGCCTCATTTTTCTGTCTAAATCAATTATTTGAGATGGGGCCAGACATGTGCAAACACATAAAATTCTTCTTTAAACAAAAATTTGCCATTGAAAGGAGGGAAATTGTTGATCCTTGCAAAAAAATCTTATTTCTAACTTTCTGTCAAGCAAAGAAAGAATGAATTTTCCATGGACCTGGACAAACTGTGGGAAAAAATGCCCAAACAATAAAACACTTTTTTTTTTTTTTTTTTTCAGATCTTTGAGGAGGAGCACAGTGTTCTGTACCTGGATCAAGGTGGAGTACTTGTTGCCATGAAACACACATCTCTGCCTATCAGACACCTCTGGTAATGACTCCATTCATGCTAAATGGCTGCTGTCCCTCATTCCAGATGCCAGGAAGTAGGCACTTAGTAGGCATCCAGTATTCTGCAGCTCTCATCTAGAAAGTATTAATTAAGATACTGGCAAACTTTAGGTCAGATAAGCTAAGAAATCCTAGAAATTACAGTTTACATAATTTTGGCTTGGCCAGATCTGAGATATCATCAGTGTAATTCCACAACACTCCTGATTTACCACAGCTTGGCTTTTTGGATATATATATATATATGGTTTATGCTTTTGTCTCTCATTAAGTTACCAGAGTAGTCCTAATTTTCAAAATTATTGATGAACTTGTCTTCTGTGTGGCAGGCAGCACTTATGCACCAGAATTTTGTTGAATAGATTCAGGGTTACGTAACTGATAATGCAAAAGTGCAGTTAGCACTCCTGAGTGAGGAGGCAGAGTATAGCTTTGTGCTGTTCTGTATTATTTACTTCCAGCACAGTTAGTGTCATATCAGAATCTGAAACACCCAGACCCAAGTCTTAAGAAATGATGAGTGGTTCCAGGCTTTCACTTACACTCCCCACAGGGGGAACTGCTGGTCTGAAGAAACTCTCCTCTTCCAGGAAACTAACCTCAAAATGTTTTATATTGGGGACTCAAAAACCAGGTGTTCAAAATCACTTTTTAATTTTTTTAAAAAGTCTTATGCTTAGGCTACATTTTGCACTTTGAGCATCAATCTTTAATATAAATTCTAGTTTCTACCACTTAAATATTGGCTATGGATTAGTGGTATGATGCCAGGCAAGCTTGATCAATGCTTTGATTCATGATGCTTCCCCAAAAAACAGTTATTTAAAGGACCAAAAATCAGAATCCAATAAGAGAAGCTGTTTTCCACTTCTCCATAGCAGCTGTAGTGGACTAGAGAATCCCCTTGAGTAAAATTGGAGGGTAAGGAAAGAAGACACTAATTCTGCTTTCTCCTCTAGGTTGAGTTTTGATGAAGGGAGATCTTGGAGCAAGTACAGTTTCACATCCCTCCCATTGTTTGTAGATGGAGTTTTAGGGGAGCCTGGAGAGGAAACCCTCATCATGACGTAAGTGAGCGTGCCATAATGATGCTGTGGAGGTGAGCCACACGTTGTATTTTGGAACAGTGGCATTTCTAGTTGGGGACCAAACCAAGTATGATCTGCAGCAAAGAGTGTGCAGTCTTCTGTTGCTAAATCATCAGTTCATTTGTGATACAACTGAGGGATTAGCAACATGGCCCCTTGCAAGCTGCAAACACATTGTCACTTAGTTTATCAGCATGAAACCTGACTCCTCAAATTGAATGTGATATAAACCAGAGTTACTGTTGACAGATTAATATTTGAAAGAAAAATGGTGAGGTATTTTTTATAACTGTGTTTTTGCTGCTACATTCTTTTTATTTTACTGAGACACAGATAAGTGAAGACGTTATTTTGTAAAAATGAATGACAAAATGTTGCCTCAAGGCTGACTCATGAAAAATTATTTTTAGTTTCAATGTGGTATGCTGAGTTCTGTATGATGCATAAATCTGGACTTAGTATTCCAGAAACTGTGATATTTTATCTGAAATCAGATTGTAAAAATGAGAAGTATTTCTGACTGACCTGTAATAAGCAGAATATGTGGCTTGGAAACTAACCTGAGCTAATAAAGATGTATGAAGAATGTTCCTTCAAGTTCTGATTTTAATTTGCATGGAAGGGACTCCCAAAGCTTAAAACTCAGATAAAACTCTTGAAGGTATTACTGTCTCCAGCCACACATCAAGTCTTCTCTTGACTTCAAGTTGGGTAATTTTAAATATTGTCATAAGCAGAAGGGTCTTAGTGAACAGAATGAATGCTCCGTGCAATTTTGCAGTTTCTAATAGGGTTATAGATATCCAGCAGGCTAAATTTCACTTTGTCAGTCCAGTGAAAATGAGTAGGACTCTGACTATTAAAGCAATTGATCTCTGTTGGAAACTGTGGTGACTGTACCTCTGTAACTACCAGACTTCCTTTTACTGTGTTCTTCCTGCTGCCTTCTGCAGTGTGTTTGGACACTTCAGCCACCGCTCAGAGTGGCAGCTGGTGAAAGTAGACTACAAGTCCATCTTTGATCGGAGATGTGAGGAAGAGGACTACAGGCCTTGGCAGCTCCACAGCCAGGTGAGAAGTGAGGATGCTGGGATGTGACCTGAAGTAGCTAATGGTCCTACAGTTCAGGATCAGCACAATCCCCTATCTCCTCCTAACATTTTGGTGTCAGCTCCCCCCTTCCTGGGTGGGTCTGTTCTGTAGCACTGGTGTGTTGGCGTCACATTGAGACTCTCTGATCCCTGAAGGATGAGCAGCTGCATTTTGGGTGTCATCCTGCACACAGACAATTACCTCAGACTTATGCAGACTTGAAACAATACAACAACAGCAGAAGAACTGCCACTGAGGCCTGAACTTCTTCACTCTTACACATCCCATCTGATTTCCCCATACTTACCTCTTTTATCTCCTTCACCATTCTCTGCCCTCAGAGCCAGTGTCTTAAGACCATTCTAGTTGTTTCTCCATTTCTGGCCCTCTTAGCCTCATTTCTTGCTCACTTGGTTTCATTCCTGCTCTGTGTCTCTTTGCTGTGGGAGTTGGACACTTCAATCCCCAATTCACTGGCCCCCATGCCCTGCCCTGTGCACCCTGGATGCAGCTGCTGCATCACTCTCTGAACCATGGAATTCATGCCCAGCAGGGTGAGCTGCTCTGCACAGTGCCTGCACCTGCCTCGGGGCACCTTCCCAGCTCTGCCAAGACACAACAGCCCATGTTTCATCAGGTTAGAATAAAATATGGCCCAAATTCTGTGGTTATATAAACACCACAGGCTCCACTGAAGTCTAGAGCAAAGCACACATTTATATCATCAAAGAGTGTCTTTCTGTATATATCTTGCTGGGCAAGAATTTAATAATGAATATGAAATGAAGGTAGCTTGACTAAGACTAGCTGCATACACAAAGCACAACTCTACACTAAAAATACTAGTTATTACTTAGATCTTTAGATGCTGAAAATCAGTACAGCTTCCTTGAAATTCAAGGAAGGACAGCATTTTAGACCTATTCAGGCCCTTCTGTTTCATGCCATCAAATCATCAAATCAAAGCCGTGAAAAAATTTTCCACAACAATTTTAACAGCATAAAAGGTAATAAGTGAGACTCCACTGTATTTTGTTCTTTGCTTTCTTGTGCTTGCATAAGCAAACATACCAGGGATTTTGCAGTATTTCTTTGAGAATATTGGCTTTGGAGCTTACAAAACTATTTTTAGGAAGGCTTCTGTGTACTCTTGCCTTTTGAATTCCTTTCCACTGAGATTGCAAGGCTGAGCCTTGTTCCCTAGATAAAAATGTTAAGTAGGGTGCTAAAGATGGGAAGTTTTAGCATGTACATAACAAGTCAAACCCTCTAAAACCAAACTCATCCATGGGAAGTATTTACATAGACACACATTACAAGTTTCTACTGAATGAAAATATTCCCAGAGCGGTCAGACCAAAAAAATAAACCTGCTGTGTGCCTCAGATTGCAGAGGAATCAGACCGTGTTTTCAGTTGCTGTGAAATGGGCCTGTACAAATGTTTATAGGCTTTGGAAACAAATTTGGAACTGAGTAAGATATATAAGTAATCTCAGATAATTTCTTAGTGTGTATTGGAGAAGTTGATTTAGTTTCAGTGAGAGCTCCAGTAGCTTTAATTAACTCTGGTGTGCTGAGATGGCATTTGGCTCCCCATCCTCTTCTCTTGAGTAACACCTCCCATTGCACAGGCTTGGAAACACCAGGTGACACAAATAGCCTGGTGGGTGTCAAAGAAGTGTTTCTGGTTTTGTTTCCAGGGAGAAGCCTGCATCATGGGAGCAAAAAGGATCTACAGGAAGCGCAAGTCAGAGAAGAAATGCATGCAAGGGAAATATGCTGGGGCGATGACCTCGGAGCCTTGCGTGTGCACAGAGGCAGACTTTGACTGGTGAGCAATGGGCAGAAGGACTGGGTGCTCTCACACAGCACCACGGGGCTCCTTAGAGAGGCTGCAGGCTTGCAGAGAGCAGAAATTAATAAATGTGTAGGTATTGAAATGGGCTGCTCCCTGATCGTGCAGGTGTGTTAAAAGAAGGAAAGGTGGAATAGATAAATCTGTAATCTCCTGAGGCTCCCACAAAATCAGTGCTGAGCAGACCATTGTCCAGCTCTGTACACCAGTACACCATTGTCCATGTGTCACAGCTCTGTACACCAGTAAGATAACAGGTCAGTTTAGCACAGCTAACCTTAGCAGTGAACAAGGGTGGCTGAGAGTAGTCTGAAGACATATAACAGCATGGTGTAAAAAATGAAATAAATTTTTAACACGTACACCCATATGTATATATGAGTAAAAGTAAATGTATGCATATAAAAAGTATGCCTTCAGCTTCTAGAATCAGGTACCTAGGAAATGAATTCCTGGGTAATTTGTTGCATCTGGACCATCATGTTTGACAGTATCCAGCAGACATTGCCTTCATGATTTGAGTTAATCTCCTTCTGAAGCCTTTTCTTCTCTGATGTTTGCTATGGGAAATAGAGTCCATTGGTGAGTTATGCATGGCATGATAAAATCTTCAGCTGCTGGTTTCATTTCAGTATTACTGCTGACTCACAGCAATTTGCACAAAAAAGGCAGGGAACCACATTATTGAAATCTCTTTCTTACCTTTTTTCTCCAAGTCTGCCAGTTCCTTAGATTCTTGGATGAGAGAAATGTTGGCTGCTTGGCAGTGCTGATAAACTCCCTTTGTGCCTCACCCACCCAGATCTATGTCATGTTACTAATTAAACCCAGAATCTGCTATGTGAATCCTGAAAATATTTTATCCCATCAATATTTTATATGGAAGTTTATAGCGTTACCCTTCTCACGCCTACATAAACATAGAATATTTCTTCTATATAAAATCACAGAATCACAGGAGGCTTTTATATTGTGTCCAAAAAAAGTCCATTGTCTTGCTCCAAACAATAAAAATTATGAACATATTTTGGCACAGATTCTGTCAATATGGGTACTTTTTCCCTCATATTCCATTTAGTTATTTTCTAGGGAGAAAATCTGTGTGTAGTTCATCATTTAGGTGTCCAAAGCTCCTAGATTTCAATCATTTAGTATTTCTCTAGTAATGTAAAAAGGATAAGAGCCAAACCAAAAACCCCAAACCATCATTAAAAGAAGGAAATTCCCTGAAGATTTTGACTCTTTTATGGGGTATGCAGTACAATGCTGAGACAACCTCATGGCCTTATAAAATAGTTGATGCAACTGATTCACAGTCAGTCCCTTAGTGTTTAAATCCCTGGCACTTGTAAGGGACACACATACCTGAAACTTCTGATAAAAATGTGCTTTCCTTCCAGCCCTTCTCTCTGAGAATGAATATATTTATTTCATTAAAACTGACTTTGTGGCTTGCCACTATAAAACTTTGCTGCTAGGTACAGAACAAAAGTACCACAGTGACATTTGCTGGTGGAAACATGCTTTTATTTCTTTAATGTTCACCTCAAGGAAACTTTCTCCAAAGACTCTGCTGGGTTGTAGGAGAATCTCTGAGAGAAAGCTTGGATGATTAGGCAAGTACAACAGGCACTCACAGTTCGCATGCATGAGCAAGACTCCTCAAATCTGTTTCAAGAGGCAGAATCAGGATCTTTCTGACCAAGAAGGACCTTTCTCCTTCTCATGGAATCAGTTTTGGTTTAGACCAGACTTTATTGGTCCCCTCCAGTTCTCCCTGAGCTCAAGTTCTTCCTACAGTCCTCAGACTTAGATTTCTACTTTATCCATTTCAGCTTCCTTCCCTACTGCCTCTGATGAAAAAAGATTGAAATATTGCTTTAAGCTTCCAGTTCAGAAACATTTGCCAGCAATACTCATCCGGAGCATAATTTTATGTAGATGTGCCTGAGCAGGACAGAAAAGGAGAAAAGAAAATGGCGAGAACAAAAGCAATTCTGTCTGCTAAGAAAGGCAAAGCTGCTGCTGCCCCACTGTAACTTCCAGTGCCTGCCTTGTTGAACTCTGCACGAGGCTACATGGCCAATTCACCCTGCAGAAGTTGGAGGGAGGTTTGGAGGAAGTCAGGGAATGAATTCTTGCTGTGGAAGGGTGCCCTCTGTGGAGTTCTTTCCTTTTCAGGAAAAAAAAAAACCCAACACTTTCATCATCCTCACTCATGGCATTTCAGTACTTTTGATTTTTTTTTTTTTTTTTTTTTTTTTTTTTTTTTTTTTTTTGCTGGGCAGGGCTCTTAATTGAAGGAGATTGAAAGGGACATGTATTCCCCAGATAGGGAGAAGCTCCTTAGCTGCCCGCACTTGATTTTTGGATCTTGGAATAAGTTGGACAGCTTTTTATATTGTCAGTGGTTAGAGAACCCATGTTTATATACAGAGTTGAAGAAAACAACAGTTGCTGTCATTGTGCTGTCATTGCTGTTTAAACACTAAATTTGTATGGAGAAAATTTTATCATCTAAGCTTGTCACAGATTGGAGTAAAAAAAATTGTATCTCTCTGGTCAGGTAAAGTGAGAACAAGTGTTATTGCTGTTAATCCTGCAAGTCATTTTTTATCAGTTCAGAGGAAAAATACCAGGTATAAAAGACAAAGATTTTCTAAGGTGTTTCTTTTTTTTTAGCTTGTAATAACACAGAACTCCAGATTAATTTCAAATCTGTTTGCAGCCCATCGGTACTCCTTTCTCGGGGAAAAGGGCACATTTGTTTATTGTTTTGCTCAGCAACAAAACCGAGTGACATTAGCAGCGACTGTGGTTCCTCCAGCCTTGGAAGGAGACCGTTCTGCCAGCAGAGAGCTGCTACTTGTCCCGGGCTGGGCCGGGCTGAGCCGTTCCCTGGCTCTCCGTGCAGGGAATGATGCTCGCAGCGAGAGGGCAACAGCGCTTCAGGAATGGGGACGCTGGATGCGCTGGAGCCCTCGGCAAGGCTGTCCTAGCAACAGCCTGGAATAGAGAATCTCCTTCTTCCTTTAATTGATTTGGGTAAATGGATGGCACCGTTACTTGGGTGTTATTAAAGCATTAATTTACCCGGTTTCCTCACGTTGTGTTCCTTCCTGCCGCCTGAGCATTATTGCAGCGATATCTCTGCATCAGAAACCGCTCCTCGACACAGATGGAAACCTTTGGTGCTGTTCATCCTTCAGCCACCTGTCTCCCAGGTCCTTTAATAGGAACTTTGAGTGGAGCGTCACACTGTCAGTCCTCCCTCTGAGCCCGCTGTCATTAGTACTGACAGCTTCTTCTGTCAGTATTCCCATACCTCACACCTTCATGGGAAGTGTGAGCCTGTTGATACTGGTGCTGGTGGGTTTGGGTAGCCAGAGAGGCACAAAGGTGTCTTGGTACAACTGGGAATCAGGTCTGCTTATTTATTTCACAGATGATGTCAGCAAGGATCTCTCTGGCTTTTTTTATATTCTCTGGCACTTAAATTACAACCCTGCCTGCTGGGGTGAGTTCCTGTGCTAAAACATCAGAGTTCTGCATCAGGAGAAACTGTTCTGACAAAGCCCAGGGAGGCAGAGGACAGACACTGAGTGTGGTTAGATTCTGCTGGCTTTGTTTGCCACCAGCCATCAGTGCAGGTCGTGCAGGTGCCAGCTCTGAAATACACCTACATTTGCACCCTTCGGTTCTGGGCTTGGTTAGCTAACAAATAGTAATTTAGAATGAATTTTTAGTTCATTTTGAGTGCTTGTGGAAAATGCAGATTCGCTATGCAAAATCTACAGTGCATCTCTGCATCTTTAAGGTCCTGGATACCTACTGGGCATGGATTTACTGGAATGGTTCTGGGGATTTTAGGTTCCATATTAACATAAGCTGGTATAGCTCAACTCCAAATACTGCAATGCAATTGTAATCGTACACCTTTGTAGATCCACAGTTCAGACTGTAGCTGAATCCATCCTTCTCTGAGTTAAATCCCATGTCAGGTCTGGGAAACAAGCACAGCTCCCATTTAATACACATCTACAATTGAATCATGGTTAAATATTAGAAAATGGTATTAAGTGAATAAAAAGGTAGTGAGACTTTTCCAGTGCTGTGGCCACAGTTATTTGTTCCCACCAGGGCTTTTGGAAACTGCAGAAAAAAATGTGACTCTCTTCAGAGATAGCTCAATTCCATTCCATTTAATGTCCAAAATCTTTGGAACATGCAAAAACACAAGGAGCATTGTCAGCTTCTGGCATAGCTGACCTTAAGGTGAAGCTGTTAATCTTAAGGAATTTCTATGATTACATGCTAAGTCATATATTGATTTTTAGAAGCTATGAACATGGCAATCACTCATCTGAATTAACTGGTTATTTCTATATCTTAGGGCAGTAGGATTTTAGTAATTTCATGTGAATTAACAGTTCTTCCAAACAGTATGTTTGTCAGGTCTCTTTTCAAATTACAAATTTCCTTAGGGGATTTCTTTTCTTTGATTATTACCTATGGTGAAAATGATGTTAGATAAAGGAATTTATCATGAGCATTGAGTAGAGATACAAAATGTCTGGAATGAATTTGTATCTAATTACAGAAAAGAACTTGCAGTTCTACTTGACTAAGACAAATAGGATTCCAGTTTAAACCAGTAAAAGGGTAAAACCATAATCAATGAGAGCCACAAGACAGGCTGCTTCATACTGATAAAGCAATCCCTGATGGCAAACGCTCCATTCCTTTGTAGGAGATACATTATCTGTGTCACCCGAGTTCTTTTCAGCAGGCACAAAATATCATCAATATATGCAAATTCCAATTCCCACTTCCCAGGCAATGACTTGGGGAGCTGATTGCAGGCTGAGGCTGATGCCTTCCCCATCTCCAGATTTTGCTGTACTGGCTCGTGCTATGGACATCCAATTGATGGTAATGCTTCTTGATTGCTACAAAGCCTGTTGTGCCAAATTGTAGGCAGCAATTTGTTGTCAGCATCAGTGTTCTGCGTGCACCAGCCTGTAGCCAAGGAATTCATTAGATTCCAAGACTGCGGAGGTGAACGGGTGGCTGCGGCATCTGTGGAGGGATATGGAGCAGCAATTCATGTCATTTGCTGGGATGATATTTCTGTAGGGCCTTAATGAGCCAGATGATTTGCAAGCCTGAAAACAACACTGTGAAACTTCTGTGCTTATAACTATTTCTGCTGTGGAAAATCCTTGGATTTCTTTCTCTTGACTTTGAGAAATATGATCCAAGTAATCTGAACTAGTTAAGTCCAGCTTGGCTTGCCCAGATTTGCAGGTAGGAGTAGGAAACAAAATAATAGCTTGAATCTAGACATGTGCATAGTAAGAAAGCCCAGACTGCTGCATCAAATTGGATTGTGAGTACTGATCCCCTCCGAGGCAGATTTCACTGTATTAGTTTGTTTTGTTTTCACCTGATTACAGAACACTGTCTGACTGTACAGTGTTACAGCTTTTTAATTAGAGTCACACATGATAACTTAGGAATACAGTGCTGCAGAGTGTTTACAAATGAATTGCAAAAATACAGGAGTCCCATTTGTATGTAAATATTTGTTTTCTCCAAGCAAATCAGAATGGTGTTATTCTTCATTACAAAGTGTATTCTGCAGCTATAGTGTTCTTATTCCAACAAGGATGATTATAGAAGCACATGGCAGTGGAGAATTGGCTGGCTGATGCTTCCAAAGCAATTAAGCAGCACTGAGTTGGAACCATCTGAGTAAATAGATTGATGAAAATTCAGTCAAAAAAAATGAGGAAAAGACCGTTTAGGTCATCTACTGTATTGCTGTTTCCTAAAGTATGTTCTCAATTACTTGTTGTAGATATCCCAAGCACCACAGCTGCCAAAATGTTCCTTTGGAACAGTTGTGCAGTCCAATATGTGTTTAGTTTTCTCAAGGATAAGCAGCATTAATTTCCTTTTGCTAATGTAATCTTTTTAATTTTGCCATTTTAAGATTGCCTCAAAACACTTTTTTTCTTTATTCAGAAGAAAAATGTTGATGCAGAAGTAAAATGTGGTGACTGAATTATTTTTGATGTCTTGATAACCACTACAAAAACCTTAACGAAGATAAATCAAAATATTGTCTCCTTTTTTTCTTCTTTGTCTTATATCTTAGACCAGTACCAAGCTTCTTAACATTGTTTACTAGTCACTCACTAAATTTTAATTTTAAGGTACTTGAACAAAGTCGTCATTAAGTTAAACACTCTACTTGTTGTTAATATTTTTCTATAAATATCTCTCTTGTTGATGATCTGGTAGGTCTCACCCTGATGGCTGCCTTGTGGCAGCTCTGGGAGGAGCTGGAGCAGGGGCTTCACTAACTCTGATCAGGCTGTTGGGCGTTCATCCATCTCCTGTTTTTCTCTCTGCTTCTTTACATACATGTACAAATATGAGCCCTTAATCACATAATCTAACACTGCCCTACTCCTCTTCTCTTAGAAAATCAGGCTACTTGGTAGCAAGGCATTAAAGTTAATAAGTAAAAAATATGTTGCAGAAAAGTGCCATTTTAAGATCAAGGACTGTGTTGCAACTGGAATATTGGAATGGAGTTGGTGGACTCTGTATAGCAGTTCTGAGAAACAACATCCCATTACTGCCCCATTATGAACTATGGAGAAGGCTTAGTAAAAGGAATAAGAATGATTATCCAACCCAGCAGTCCTCATTACTCAATGGCTGGAAAGTAAACCCACATGTGACTGGAATACTGATTAAAGACGTTTTCTGTTAGCTGGATTTTTTTTTTCCTGCAATAACATTTTTTATAGAGTCTTTGTTTATTTGGAATCAGGAACAATTTTAAATGTTTTTAGTGAAACCAAAGCAAATTTAGTCATAGCTAAGCTCAAATTGTGACAAAAGATTAAAGTTTGACTTGTTTCTAACATGTGATTTTTGGTAGCATTTCCTCTTCTAAACAAAAAGAGAATTGAAGATCACAGAATTCTTTCCCATTACCAAATATGCTGTTAATGTCTTCAGGCAAGAGCTCTCTAAGGGCTGTAAATTTTTCTCTGCATCCTGTGTGATATCGTTTCCAAATGCAATTAGCTTTTTAGCCCTTCAGTTTTCTAAGACATGACTGAGACAGTGGTGATTTAACTTAGCTTAGATTTCTGGGTTTTGGAGTTTTTTTTTGGTGCAGGAAGGGTTGTGGGGATTTTGTGGTTTTTTTTTTTTTTTTGTTTGTTTGTTTGTTTTGGTTTGATTTTGGTTTGTTTTGGTTTTTGGGGTTTTTTTGGGTTTTTTGTTTGTTTAGTTGGTTGGTTTTGGGTTGTTTGGTTTGGTTTGGTTTCATTTTTTTTATTTGAACCTAGATTTTATCCTGAGAGGTACTGTTAGTCTGTGGAGAGAGAACAATTGATGCAATACTCATAAACTACCTGCTCTGGTTCTTCTGTTTTTGTACGGCGATTTATGCAAGGTAACTGCCCCAATTTAAAAAGCTGAAGTGGATTGAAAAATCTGTTCTGTCAGTAAAAATAAAATCAGAAATCCTAGTAAACAGACAGAGGAAAATCAAAGCTTGCATTAACCATAGAGAGCATGAGCTAATAATACCGTGTTTGTTCTTTTGTGGTTTTATGTGATGGTTTATTTTAATGTCACCACAGTGATTATGGATATGAACGCCACAGCAATGGCCAGTGTTTACCAGCATTTTGGTATAACCCATCCTCCTTGTCAAAAGACTGCAGCCTTGGACAGAGTTACCTCAACAGCACTGGGTAAGTGGCTCAGCAGGCTTTACTTAGAGCACCCATATGGATTCAACCCAATGACAACTGCAGATTCCACCCATGGAGATGTGTCAGAGCTGGCTGAACATCTTCTTCACCGCTTTTTTTGGGTTGCACATCTGTCATCTCCATCAGGTATGGCCCAGGCTTTTCTCTGGAAGATGATGCCTTAAAAAAACTTGAGGGGAGACTGTAAGGTCAAATCATTAATGTTTCTGGAAGGCTCCTCTTCAAATCCTGTAAGATCAGGTGAGGCAGAAACACTGGAAGATAAATTTGTGGAGAGAGATGAAAGTGATGTATATGTGAAGTGAAGTAATAGATGGGCAGCCAGCCCAAATGCTGACTGTTCTTTGGTCCTCTTGGAAGTCAATGGAAGATGTGGTTTAAGTTAAGATTCTGGCAGACTTCATATATGATGTGAGTGATTAAAGCAAACAAAGAAACCCAAGCTGTCTTTGGAGGGTTTGTACACTGAAAGATGGACAGAATTTGCTTTTCGCTTCAATTCTTATTGTTCTAGCCTTTGAGAGTTACATTTTTAGAGTTACTTAACTCACAACTAATACAAAGTGGAGCACGTGAGAAAAGTTGTTAAACTTTGCCCAACAGTGTAATAATTTAATACAATGCCATACTGTATGGGTATATGATTTATTTATAACTTTATAGTTGTTTAACTCATATCATTTTATGTTTTGGGCAATTTATGGTACCTTACATGGTATCAGAAAATGGGAATACTGCCAGATGCCATTGAGAACAATATGAGCTACTGGTGTGTTGGGCACATGAGGAATTCTTGGCTGACACAAATACTGAAATACATTCGGGAATCTTTGTTTCCTAGCAATCTCCTTGGTCTAAAGGCACCTTTTGCCAGTGAACCCTGCAGTGCTCCTTGTCAGCACCTGGCAGGGGTTTCCCTGTCCCGTTGCAGGTACCGGAAGGTTGTTTCCAACAACTGCACGGACGGGGTGCGGGAGAGGTACACGGCCAAGCCCCAGCAGTGCCCGGGCAAACCTCCCCAGGGCCTCCGCATCGTCACGGCCGACGGCCGGCTCACGGCCCAGCAGGGCCACAACGTCACCTTCCTGGTGCAGCTGGAGGAGGTAGGCTCTGTGGGACACTCACCCCGGGTCCGTCTGAGTGGGACTCACGCCAGGAGGAGTTTGCAAAGAGGTGAAGCAATATATATACAGGGTGGTATAAAGTCAGTCGCGGCCGGGATGTAGCTGGGTGGAGTTTGCTGCAAAATGTATGGAGATGAAAGAGCTGTCATTGTGGTGCCCAGGGTAATGTCTGGGAGAAGTTGATAGAAACTGGGAATTGGTTTAATTTGGGAATTTCACAGGAGAGCTGAAGAGTGTGAGTTTGAATTCTGATTCCCCCATCCTTAATTATGCTTTTTGCTTCCTGCTGTTTTTTGAAACTGAATTTCCATATTTGTTTTCCACTGGTTTTAAACCAAAGATGACAAATAGTACAGATGCAGCTGCGTCCCCATCACACAACTTGGTACATATTATTTAGGCATTTATGGGTGAAATCTCAAGATGTCCTCAGCAGGATTAAGTCCGAAATTCATTGTTAGTGTGAAGCTGATTCAGGCTCTGATCTGTTTTTATTATATCTGTAACTTAAGTTGGTATTTCATTGTTCTGCTCCCTCCATTCCTGAATCCACAGAAAAAAGTATTTAAATCTTTTCACCTCTTTTTTCTTTTTAGCACTTCTCTATCTGTGTTTGATTGCTGGTGCACAAGCAAGAACATTCACGAAGTAGCAGTTTTCTCTTTTTCCCTAATCTAATTTGATTTCTTTAAACTTCTACCCCTTTTCCTCTCTTACTGGCCAATAAATCCTAAAACAAGTATGCTTTAACACTAAGGGACAATGTACATACCTTCTTAGTGAAGGAATGTACATCCCTTTTTTGTGAGGGACAATGTACATCCCTTTTTAGTTTAGAGTATAATTTAGAGTATTCAAGGAAATTATTTCTGACCCTCTCCATAGTAAATGACATCTCTGAGGAAAGAATTTTTTTTTACATCTCTGTTATTGATGCTTTCCCCAGCAAACTGTTGTCCTGATTTGTAAATGCAATACCATATGATAAATCATATCTAACCCAAAGCAGTTTTTGACCTGAATGTTTATTTTCTCCAAAATATCGTCACTTATTTCAGTACTGACAGTCATACAGCATTGCTACTGTGGTGCTGTAATAACAGTGTGAGCATACATCTGGTTAAATTATAGATTTCTGCATTTAAAAATAGAAAAGGTCCAAAACAAGAGTCAGTCTCCAGGCTTAAAAAAAAAAAAGTTAAAAAGTATACTTTAATCACCTTCCTCTACTGAGCAAAGTTTTAAAACAGACTGGGAGAAGCAGATGGATAATCTGAATAGTCAGTCACAAACTATCAAAGAGTTATGCCAATAGTCAGAGGGAGAGAAAATCACCCACAGTGTGGGAAACACAGGACAAATGTCCTGCTCTTTCCTCTGTGAGTGCTTCAGCTCACATATCGTGTAAGAGAACCCTGAGCACTCTGTCATTCGGGGAGCTGCTGTGCATTGTTCTGTCTCTTTTGTTCATTCTGATCTTTCCTGGCAGCTCTGCTTCAGTGTGCACGAGTCTGGAAGCAGCACCTTCTCCAGTATGAGATGGTGCCTCTCTCATGCTGGGTGTCAAGGAGTACAGAGCAGATGTTTTGATGAGTGAGTGAGTTAGTTCTGAGGAGATCTAAAGGGAGCTCCTCTTCCAGTGTATCTGATAAGGAAGAGGTTAGGAATTGCTCTGAGGGCTGAAGCAGTATTGATCAGCCTCCAGCCTTTCCAATTACTCTCCCTGTTAGATGAATCTTGACCTTCTGCTCCTTGATTTGTCAACTTAAAGAGCAACCAACAAAACCTTTGGGCAAATTTTGCTCAGTCTGACAATGACTTTGTGTGAGTGTTGCAACAAAAAAATATATAACAAACAGGAATATTTGCCCAGTTATGTGCAAGCTATAGGGCAATAAAATGTAGTTGAAGCAGCAAAACCCTGTGTAGACTTAAACCATTTACCAATTTAACTGTTTCAGTGACAGAAAACATCACTCATTAGAAAAGTTAAACAACCCATCAAAAGACCAAGCATCCTTTTATAAAATGGATATTGATATCACAGCATCATTGAGGTTGAAAGGAATCTCTGTAGATTGTTTAATGCAACCCCACTTCTCAAAGGGAAGTAAGTTCCTTTCCCTTGCATTCAAGGCAGAGGTATCACAAGACAAGAATTTGCCAATTTCTATTTAGTTCTGCCCTGCACAGGTGTAAAGCAGAGTACAATTCAGGATGATCAGTATCCAAAAAAAATCTGTGCCACTCCATCTTAACTGAGAGTAAGGCATCAGGAAAATTTAAAAGGGCTGGATATGTCACCTTGCACATCTTTTCCTACAACAGTGGAAAAAGTGTGTCCTATTGAGCCCTTTCCCCCCGGAGTGGTGGGCAGTATTTTAGAGTGCTACACCCTGGTGGGGACTCTTCCTTTAGTGTGAGTGACGGCTGATATCTTTAAGGATGTGAAAAGGCAAGGGCCTTTCCTTTTGCATCTTAACATTTCCTGTATCCCTCTGAGACAGTTTGTTTGAAGCCTTCAAATCTGCAGAGCTGTTTCATACACTGCAGCCTCCCAGCTCACTTTTTTCATGCCCATGTTCCACTTGATCTGCAGGAAAGGAAAGAAAAAAAAAAAAAAAAAGAGAAGCTGGTGAGCCAAGATACAAGATGTACTCCTGTTATCTTTCTAGGGCTTTCTGCTCCATCTAGGAATCCACCTGGGTTTGAAAAGAGGAACAAACTACAGAAGCAGGTTCACTGGAGGCCCTGAAAATTCACTGTGTCTCTGTAGTGGAGCAGATTGCTAAGAGGGCAGGGAGAGACAAATGGCAGCAGTAAAAAGCTGATGTTTTCACTCAGGTGTGGGATTCAGGGGCAGGAACCAAAGCACAGTGGTTCCTTGTAGAGCGTGGTTGTGCCTGTAGTGATGCTGAGAGCCACGACTGTGCGTTCTGACAAAAACACAATGTGAGCAAAAGATGCCTCAAGAGAAGCAAAGACAAGGCATTCAGAAGTGTTCTGCTATTGAAGAAGACACAAAAGAAAATCATCACTGAAGTCTGTGCAAGAGGAGGGAGGGCAGGAACCAAACCCAGGAACACACTGAGTATTGCTGATTTTTGAGAGCTGGGATTCTGGCCCACTTTCTCTAACTCTGACTCACATGACATTTTCCTGTGAAGCATTTATATCTGGCAGCATATAAATAACATTAAAAGCAAACCCAACCAACAGGTCATATTTAAATAATCTGAAGATGATTTAAGGAATTCTTTCAAAAGTGATCTAAGCCACCTGTCACCTTTTAGAATTTCTGTATGACTTCCTCTAAAGCGCTTGCAAGGTCACCTTGCACTTATTATTTATGGTCCCATTATTGGAAAGGTTTGGCAAGTTATTTGTCCAATTAATCTGGGTGTAATCGTCATGGGTTTTTTAGTGGGTGACAATAGCCAGGAATCATCAATATTGCCTTAATAACTATCATGTGTTGCATTTTATGAAGTATTTTGGAAGTGTTTAAGAAGCCAGACATCATACTTAAGCTGGGAATTTTGCTCTTAAATTTCCATGAGATAAGCAGAATACCAATAGCATTTTTGTCATTGCGTGACAGCACATAACACAATTATCTATGCTTAAATGCAAATTTTTCATTACCTAATGAAAGTTTAAAGGTAAATCCTTTGCCCTGGCTGGGCTGGCTGGTACCTCTCACACTGCAGCATTCAACAAGAGTTGTTTCTCAGCCTGAAAACCTGAATTCTTGCTTTATTTTTGGGTAGCAACAAAAGAAATCCAAAATGTGAAGTTACAAAGGCACTTTTCCTACTTAAGTTATTCAGCCCAACGTCCTTGACGTGTTTTGCTTCTCTGTTGTAGAAAACAGAGGGGTTTTTTTTAAAGTTGCTGTTTCTGTGTGCCTTCCTGATCACATGGTCACGTAGGTCTCTTGCCTGTCACAACCACAATTGTTATTTGTGTGTTGGAGTTATTGGTATGAACATCAGACACTTGTGCTGCTGTACTGCTTCAGCAGAGACTCTGAAAGCTGCAGCCTCCAGAGCAATGCTGTTCAGCACAATGGCTTTCAAACTTGTTTCATCCCATTGCTCACACATCTTTGCTGAGGAAATGGATGGTAAAGACATTCAGGGCAGGAAGGTTCAGGGCTTTGACTGTTTCATTACAGATAATTCACAGAGAAACTGCCTCATCTAATTTATTTTTTATCTTGATAAAATGACAGCCAAAAATCTTTGACATTCCAGGTCTGCCTCCGTTCTCACTTGGCAAAGTCACTCCACTGGGAGTAGATTTTGGCTTGCTTTTAACTGCTTGCTGCTGCTGTGTGATGTTTGGATTAGACTAATGTGTGGGGAAAGCTAATTTGTTCCTACACTTCAGGCCACAGGCTACAATTCAGGCAATCTGAACTCATTCCTGAACCGCTCTCTGAGCTCCTTCTGCATGACCTTGAGTAAGAAACTTAAACTTTCTGATGTTTTATTCCCTTCTGCCTCATACCCCCCATGCCTTGCATTTGTGTAGTGATTGCTCATAAATCCAGAGGACTCTTGTCTTACCATGTGAACATACAAATGAAGCCCTGAATTTCCTAAAGACTGCCGTGGCTCTCTGTAATGACAGTGTTGATACATGGCTGTACAAGGTACACTGTGTCTTGGGTACATTTAATGAGCTTGGGGATCCTGCTGCGGGCACAGTGCCATTAACATTTCCCACCTCAGCACTATTGTTTGGTGCAATTCAGTATTCAACTCAGCTGAAGTTTCTAGATGAGCTTAGCATTAGGATTGTTTGATTGCTGATGTACTCAAATTAAAGATGCAAAGCTAGTAGTAATTAAAAGCATAGTCTGTATTTTTTTTTTTTTACGGTATCCCACTGTGTTCCCTCTTTTGATATCACCAGTTTGTTAGCAATGATTACAGAAATATGAAACCTTCATCCTAACTTTCAATACACATGCTGAATCATGTCTGTTTATCTTTCTAGCAGCACTACACTTCTCTAATAACACACAAATAACACAGTATGTACCCTTCCCTGTACCACTGTCATCTGAATTATAATTGCATTTCTGATGAGGACAAGCTGGTTGGGAGAAATCAGAGCCTTTCATGCATTTTTAAGTTCATTGTTGAAATTCCATGAAAATGTATGAAAGTGGACCTTGCCTTCCTAATGACACACAGCACTACAGTCTTGTAATGCACTTCCAGTCACACAAATTGAATTATTCTGCATAATCCTGAGAGGCTGTTATTGAATCCTGTGGGGCACAGAAGATCTAGTACTGTAAAAAGAGCTCATAGCTGAGTTGAGCTGGCACAACTTGCAGTCAGGATGAATGATGTGATCAGTACAATTCACTATTTGGTGTTGAAAAAGAAGTACATGTGAGAAGTATCAAGCTATTTGCCCTGCTAAAAGGCACCTTTCTATTCAGTTTCTGATTTGAAAAATTAAGGCCGTCTCTCTGAAAGCAGGGATTTGCACAGGAAAGCATGCTTTTAAGTTCTTGCTGAAATTGGATCTGAGTGTCTGGTAAAAATTAAGAATATGCTTTAAACAGATGTAGATTAAAGGTATGTCATGTGTAGATTCAGTTCCATTAAAATATCTTTGATGAATGATTTCTTTTGGTGACAGGAAAATACCAAAGAGGGAAAGGGGTTAATCTAAAGAAAGCACAATGAATTAATCCATGAAAACTCTCCAACAGCAGCCGTGTCTTTTTCTTGCAAAGGATAATTAAATCTATTGTCAACATCTCTGAGGAAGACACAGAAGTTGGTGCATAATTAAAGACTGAAAAATGAAATCTGAAACATGGGAAGCAAAATTATAAATCTTGAGCCGTGTTTGTTCCATTTTTTAATACTTCCATTTAGATACAAATACTCAAAGTCAATAAGGAAAATGCATTATTACAACTTTCAGGGCAAGATTCCAGTGGTATTTTTGAGAGAGAGAATCTTGCTAGGTGGGTCTCACATCTCACATCCACCAAAATACTGAGAGCTGCATAAAAGTAATCAAAATAGAAAAATATTGTTGCAAACTCTATGGGGTGTTTTTTTATATACCCTGAGGCAGGAAGCTTCCCAGTTTTTTGGTAACATCCAGGGCTTGTGTGCACTCAAGGCTCCTTTGGTCAAGATGCAGGAAAAAGGTGCACTTGGCTTAGGAGGCAGGACCAGGAAGCAGGGAGAGAGGAATATTTTGTATATGCCTGAAAAAAACCTGGACATTTATTGAGAAAATGCCTTAGAAAACAGTAAATTTCTGATTTACATTTTAGTAACTAATGTTTTCTAGGTAGGTAAGGGGTTTAATATGGGGCCTTGGCAAACTTCTTTTTAGTTATGAGGGCTTCTTTTCAGGCTAAAAGTTCTTAAGGCTCAGCATATGTTTAAGCCTTTAGCTGCACAAAAGCCCTTATCAAGATTGCGGAGAAAGGGGTCAATCTAAAGAAGACACAATTAATTAATCCATGAAAACACTCTAGCAGCAGCAGTGTCTGTCTCCTGCAAGTAATGCAGGGAGTTTTGCATCTGCCAAATTTGGGCTAAAAGCTTCAGAAAAATCCTGTTGTGGAGTATTGAGCCTGACAAAATAAAAAAAAGAGAAGCTGGAGAAAGCAGCAGGAGGGGGTTTTGCAAGATGTATGGATAGACATCAAATTGTTGCAGTACAAAACTTCTCTTGGTAAAATAACCTCTTGCAAGTTGCTCTGGAGAGATGCTGGAGACAAGAGACAGTGACAGTTGGGTTGGTTTAAATCAGTGTGGGCTGTGTGGGAAATGTTTGGATTTTGGCTCATCTGCTTTCTCTTCCTGTCTTAGTCTGTCCGTGCTCTTACCTGGCACAGATAAAATATTAGAACAAGTCGAAATACAGTCTCTTTGTTTTCCTGACTTCTCTCTCCCACTTCCTAAGCTAGAATTTTTAATGTCTGGTATCCAAAATGTGGCGTTTTCAGAGGAGTGTTGCAGCCTGGATCTTACTGAGTGGAAAATGTGTTTCCAGTTCAAAAGGTTTTAAAACAGGAAAGGCCAAGACAAATAAAAAAGAATGGGGGAACAGCAGCTGAATCTTTTCTCTAATTGGATTTTCAACTGTTTCTGTCAGCATCTTCTCTACCTAGGAATTGAAATCTAAATCTTGTATGCCTTAGAAATGGCTCCTTTCCCTGGATACACCTGTAGACAGCATGAGTTTCACGGCTGTGGACAAAATGAAGACAAGAGGATGAAAAGGTTCACTAGAACACAAATGTTGACAGTTGCAGAAATGAGGCTATTCTGTCACCCTTTTCATCTTCTGCTGCTACCTCAGATATGTGGAGGAATATTCCACAACCTGAAACAAACTTCAACTGCATGGCCTTGAATATCCTCAGAGCTGGTAAATCCAGCAGGGTCACTATGGTGGCACAGTTTAACCATGTGAAAAGCTTTTGTCTCAGCAGCATGGCTTTACTGTTCAAAGACATCATCTCCTTCTGAGTAGGAACAGACAACTAAAACCCTAATAATGATGGACCTGGAGGCATTGGGAGATCATCAGAGGGTACTTCAGAGACTTCTGTATTTGACCTGAGTCCTGCACTGGACTTGAGATAAGAACAGTCCCCCTCTGAAAGATGTTCAGAGGTCGTGTGTGTTCACTTCTGGCTGTGGAAGCAAATCCCATTTGGTGACTTCTGTTGGCTCAGTCAAACAGACACGAGTGCCCAAAGCATCATGTTTGAATCTGCACATCTTTCTAATATCTCAGCTCAACAAAGGACAGAACTCTGTTCTCAAGACCATTTCCCCTGCCACACATTCAGTTTGGGATTCTCCATAACAGAGCAACACAGTTATTTTTGTCTCATCTATTTGAAAGCAACAGAGCTTCCAGCAGGGTGCCAGGGCAGTGTAAAAACAAGTTTAGTCTATTAAAAGAGAGCATCTGGGAAAATTTGTTGCTCTTGCCACCATCAGGTATAGCTCTGCTCTTTTTGCTTTCCATTCAGGCAAGCCTCCACTATTTCTGCCTTCACAAGTTATAAAAAGACTGAGAGAACATGAGGAATATAAAAGTTCTGTTACAATTTCCTCTTATAGTCACATACATTCACATCTCTTTCTGATGTGGACACTTGCCTGATGCTATCCATTCACATGGGTTCCTTTCATTCCAGAAGGGAAATTGGGCATCCAGAGGACTGTATCTCTCTCAAAGGAAAAAAGGGAGAAAAAGGAAGAAAGAAAAGGAAAAGGAAACAAACCCAAAGTAAATGAAATGTCCTTTCATCCAATTTTTTGATAGGTTATTAATGATCAGCTATTCATTTTCCATCATTCCAGAGAGTGGCCACTGCTTCAGTGCACCAGGCTGGGGAGGTGCTCCACAGCAGTAGCCAGCAATGTGAACATAGCCAGCACGAGCACCATGCAGAGCCAGAGGGGGGTTTCCTAGGGGGCGAGGATGTTCAAAGGTAAGGCAAGATGCTGCATCTCACACGAAAGGGAGGGATCTTTAGCAGCCATGGTTGTTTGACAGGTCAGTGCAGGCTGTTCCTCTGGTACATCAGGCCTTGTTGCTATTTTCCGGTTGGTCTCGCTCACCCCGCTGATCCCGTCTCTCAAAAGCAAACAGAGTCTGTTTTGATCCTTTCTCTTCCACCACAGGGAGACCTCCAGAGATCCCTCATCCAGGTGGATTTTGGGGACGGCATCGCTGTGTCATATGCCAACCTCAGCTCAACAGAAGATGGGATCAAGCACATCTACCAGAACGTGGGCATATTCCGAGTGACCGCGCTGGTGGAAAACAGCCTGGGCTCTGACAGCGCTGTTCTCTACCTGCATGTAATGTGTATGTATCTTCATACCCCTTGTTAGCTGCTGGGTTTCTTTTAGAATTATTACTTGGAGCTGGAGGTGACATTTGGAATTTGGCAGCTGGGTCCAGAGTGGTGGGAAATGGTGAGTGCTCACCTGCCCTCCAGACAGACTGTTGATTCCAGACTGAGAGGAAACATAGATTCACTAAGGTTGGAAAAGACCTCTAAGATTATTGAGTTTAATCAATAACTTTTGCTTTTTAAATAATATTCTACCTCTAGTTTTGGATAGTCTAATTTGGGACACCTCAAAGGACTGTCCAGCCCTTTCTGAAATGCACTTTCAGTATCGAGCTTACACTTGCAGAACAACAAAGACACCCAGAGATTTTTAATGACTTTTAAAAGCTTTGAATTTTACTTTGAGCATGTCTTGCCCTCTAATGAAACACACCCACCTCTGGGATGGAAACCAGTGCTTTTCAGTATTTCTGTTGTCATAGGAACCAAAATCTTTGTATTAAATAGTACTGACAAAAAAAAAAATTGTCCTCACATTGCTTTTCTGCTATTCTTTTTAACATTTTCATACTTCATATGTGTCTGATTTACAACTGAAATGTATCACAAGTTCTTGGATAAAACCAACATTTTATCCTTTCATATTTATTCTAGCACATGGTTATGAACCTAAAGGGTCAGTCTATTTATCAAAATTTTGTAACATTCCTAACGGATTTTGCTTGGGGCTATAATTTTCTTTATACCATGGGGTTTTTTGTTTGTTATTTATGTCTTCACTGTGTGCCTCTGTGCCAGATTAACTGAGAAAAAAAGGAAATTCCAAAACTTGAAGTTATGTTTGCAGAAATATTGTTTATCATCTGCCAAACAAACTCCACATATTGTGTAGATGATTTGGCACATTCCCACACTTTACCTCTAGTGTTGGGGTTTGTTCACACAGCATGAAAGCAGCTCCTTTTTCAGGTTAGGAGAGCAGCTCTTTAATGGAGAACCATTGTGTCAACAGATTGGAGCAGTGGGAGGCAGGAGTGTGGGAGATGGGATTTTTATGGAGGACAAGAAGGAACAGGAGCAAATATTCACCTGAATGTCCCCCTTCAAAAACACCTTTGGTTGGCAGGTGTCCAGCCTTCACTCACTCATAGTTTCTTTCTGGTCTACAGCTGCTCTAATAATTTTCTTGAAGGCTTATGAACCATTTGGATTGTTTAAGCTGTACAAGAAATAAACAATATTCAGATTTGTTTGTGTGACTTAGCAGCTGACAGTGTATGTTTCTGTGTTTTGCATAGGTAATACCAGCAGAGGACTTAAACACTGAGTGATCATTGCAGCCAGGGCCAGATTATGTGTGCCAGACTCCCTGGAGAAGTGACAGCTCTAAGGGATATTCTCACCTTTCTCTACATGACAAGAATTAGGGACTGCAGAACAGGTTACAAATGAGCATGGTGCCACTCAGACTAGCAAGAGACTTGCTGAGGACAGGGATATGCAGTAGATCCAGCCCCCTCCAGAGTATAACACCCTGATACACAAAAGCTTCTAAATCCTGTTTGAAAGCTTGCATTGCCACTCTGCTGAGTATTCTGCTTTGGGGTGTTTGAGCTTGGCCTTTGGGGAGTTTTGCAAAAATATCTGTCCTTAAAATAGACACATGTACTGTATTGTAAGATCCACAGACAAGCAATGTGCAGCCTGAACATGCAGAGTTTATGGAACAGCTACAAACTGGGTGATCCCTGGTTATAGGGTAAATACATGAGTGTGTGCAGCCAGGTCTGGGCCTTCCAGCACCTTCCTTACCTGTGGCCAGCCCTCTTCCTGCAGGAAAAAACTGCAGGCACTGAACCTTAGTGCTTGTGGTCTCAAAGATAAAAGTAAAGCCTTCATCCCATGCTCTCCTCATCCTGCTGCAGTCTGTGCACAGAAGCAGTGTCTTTCCTGCAGGTGCTCCAGGGATCCAGAAATGCAGGTTACTGTGAGACAGGAGCATTTTGAGTTGGATGGACAATATAAACTGTGGTATGTAAACTGCTCAAACCAACAGCCTGTCTCTTAGCTGTCCTGAATCATCAAAATTTTCTCCTGAAAAGTTAGTTTTGGATTTGTTTGGATGCTTCAGAATAACATAACCTGTGCAAGTGAGCCTTTTGAGAAGCTTCTCCTTTTCAGTTTTCTGGAGCTTGTACAGTACTTTTTCCCTGGGACAGGTGAAGGCCATAGCCTCCATAGCCCTGCATGAAACTCAGAAGTTAATGCTCTTGGATCCTCTTCAAGCTTACCTGGGAGAAAGCAGTCTCCTACCAGGAGAGCCTATCCAGAGTGAGCTATCCCCATCTGCTGGCCAGATACTGGCTCAGCTTTTCAGCCTCCTTGCCCCAGCTGTGCTGGGAAATGCTCAGGCAGAGTTGGGTTGCTTGAGCCATTCTTTCATATCCCTTCCTAGCCATTGTTTGGGGAAGGTCCAAGGAGATGCTGGGCGCTCTGTGCCATGCAGGATCCTTTGAGATCTGTTCAGAGCAGCAGTGCAGTAATGTTGGAGAGTATCAGACTTTTCATGGGCCCCATCATTACAGTTGTCACTGCATTTAGCTGGGGAAGTTGCCATTTTTCAGGTCTTAGGGGCTTGCTGAAAGCAGGAACAGCGTGGTGATGGAAATGGATCTGAGCAGGAGGATGTCATTAAAATCACAAGGGTGCAATTGTGGCATCTCATGAATTTCCAAGAGTGTTGACTGCTGCTTATAAAATGCAAAACAAGCCATGGTCTCAAGTATAGCAGGCTTTGGTTAATCTGATCATGGATAACTCTTAATTGGGCTGCTTCAGCTTAGGCAGTGGCTGTGTCTACAGCCCAGGGAAAGATGCATTTCAGTAATAAATCAGGAACGCTGGTCCTTATTCTGGCATTGTTTATACAGTCTGATTTGGGAGAGTTTTTTCCCTCACTCTGCCTATTGTGTTATACAGGATGCTTTCTCCAGAGTATGGTGTTCATTTAGGCTGAAAAGCAAGGTCTAAGTGGTGATTCTTGCATGGGGTATATCCTGAAAGTTCCTCCCTGGAAATACATCTAGCAATGCATCTCTGCATGGCTGTGGTTCTCATCACTGGGGAGCTCACAGACAGAGGATGTGTAGATGTGGCCTTTATTTGTTTAAAGAACCCATGTCCTCATGTGACCTGAAGTTTCTTTATTTTTCTTTCCTTGTCACTCAGGTCAATTGCTTTGTTCTCTTAGTGAACAGTCAGAACACATTTTAAAAATAATCTATAGAACAAGATTTAACAACAAAGGCCCATCTGTTTCCAGAAGATGGGAAATGTGTAACCCTGGGCATAATGTCACTTGTCGAATGAATTATGTTCTGTTTATACTGAAGAAATAAAAGAGTTTATTGATGAAAAGGAGAGAGTATAAGGTAACAATAAAATGCAGGCACTCAGTGAATAGCTGCCTTCAGAAAGAGTTTCTGAAGTTTCTGAAGTTCACCAAATCATAGCAGTTTTCTAGCAAAGATGCTTCATCTCTACTGAAGCCCTTTGTCCTGCACATTCTTCTGTCTTCCCAGTGAAGGCCACATTCACACAACAGGGCTCTGTCTCTATTGTAAAAGTCATATAAGCTCCTGACTTCATGACATTCATGCAGGAGAGAGTCCAAGTTTTTCAGCTCCAAGGTTCAGGGGTGGCTCCTGTTCTCTGAAGAACAGTTTTAAGCCTTCCTCTCTAGGAATGGTCCAAGCCAAAACATTCTGCCATGTCCCTCAGTGACTTAGGGAAGACTTCCCTAAACCAATGGATATTCCACCCAGGCTGACTTTTCAGATGGAGGGAGAACTCAGCTGCTGCTTCTGTTTCTGCAGGTCCCTTGGAACACGTTCACTTATCTCTGCCCTTCGTCACCACGAAGAACAAGGAGATCAACGCCACAGCAGTGCTGTGGCCAAGCCAAGTGGGAACACTGACTTACGTCTGGTGGTTTGGAAACAACACAGAGGTTTGTATTCCTGAGGGACTGAGGTCAAAATAACCCTGGAGGAGCTCTCTGACAGAAGAGGGAGGGAGAGAGGGATCTGGGAATGCTTCTGTGTAGTCACATATGCAAGAAAATTACAAACCAAATTCAGGGATACTAATGGGCCTTGGAGGTACTGACATGGAAATGTAAGTAGTGCTTTGTGTTTGTGACTGTGACTTAGCTGTAGGCTTTATTGCTATTTCATGCAAGCTGTCAATAGCTTTCTTCCTTAATTCCATCCAAGGTGAACATAGTTAACCAATATCTGGAAGAGTTTCTATTGTTTCTCTTCACCCTCCTTTCTTCAGTAACAACAAGAAAATAAAAAGTAGGGCATTGGAAGATTCTTTTTAGGAAAACAATCTTTCAATCTGAAGCTGTTTTTATATCTGGAACTGACCTATGCTGAGCCCCAGCACCCTGTGCTAAACCACATGTGCAAAAGGACCTTATTATCATGTGCTATGGGTGGATAAAATGGTTCCCAACACACCTCCCTGCCCCAGGGCTCTGCTCAGATATGAGAGTATCACCCATCACATTCTGCTGCCTTTGTGCTTGCAGTCTTGGTAAATCTGCACAGACATTAGAACTGTTACTTCACATATAATTGTGGCTAAAGTACCCAAAAACCCTAATTAGTTTCTGAGGGGAGAGGTTGTCATGGATTTTGTAGAGCCAAGAGGGACCTTCATAATCACACATTGTTCTCTTCTGCATAATGCAGATTGTAGAGTTTGATCAGTACCTTCTGTTTTATTTAACTTTTTCTGACTAGGGCAGGACCTGACTTGTTGTTGTTTTGCATTAACACTTTTCCTCAGATGATGGAAAATTAACTGCTTCTCCTTCTGACCATCTCCTCCAACTATTTCCCCGCAGCTAATTATTCTGAGTTTGAACTCATGCACCGTGTTTGTAGTCTGAATTTATCTAGTCTGGGATTCAAGCTGTTGGATCTTGTTATGCCTTTTTGTGTAGATTAAAGAATTCCCTGTACTATCAGCAATCATCTCCCCCTAGAGGTACTTACAGGCTGTGTTTGTCACCTTTTAACCTTCCCTCTGATCTCCTAAGCTCCTAAGTGATCAGGGTTGGTCTAATTCTGTTCTCATTGAAGTGTGAGTTTTACTATAGACTACAATGGCAACAGTTTGACTTAATACTGGGTGCTTTGAAGATCTCACCCAGAGTTCATTAACAAGTGAAAAGAGAAGTTAAGACAGAGTCTGCTGGAGGACACAACTCATTGATGAGCTTGTTCACAGCTGAAGGGATCTCTGTCCTCTCAAGCATCAGCAAGTAAAAAAAAAAAACGGTGTGTCTGCATCTAAGGATAACATGGGACAGCAAATGTGAAATCTTAATTTGGCTGGTTCTGTGACAACCCCCTTGAGTCACCTTAAATAAAGCACTTACAGTAGATTCAGGAAAGGAGAGTGCTACCTGAACAGTGTGTGTTGCAAGCCTTTATATCAGGATCTGGGCCTCTCTGGGGAGTGAGCAAAGGTGGGCATTTAACATGGGATCCAGAACAACCAACATGCCAAGTGGAAAGGAAGCACTGGAATCTTACATAGCTCCTATGGGAATTATAGGTACCTTACTCTGAGCTTCAGGAGGACATCCCTGTCTGGGATTTGTGTGCCCTCCCTAGGAAATTAGCTGCCATCTCACAGGGCCCCTCCTGAGTCTGAAATTTACAATCTGGAACTAACTCTCAAACCATCCCAAAAGGTTAGAGAGCCAAACTCATTTTTGCTTTTCCTTTTCCAGCCAAATTAACTGAATTTTTCCTTGTATAATGTGTTTGCAGCCACTGATCACATTGGAAGGGAGCATCACATTCACATTTTCTGTGGAAGGGATGAACACCATCACTGTTCAGGTCTCAGCAGGAAACACCATTCTTCAGGACACAAAGACTATTGCAGTGTATGGTGAGTTCTTTCCTTTTTATTTCATAAAGGATTCTCCATAGTCAACATTTAGAGAGCCAAGTTAGCTGGCAGCAACAAGAGGTCTTTATTCCAGAATGCTTTGAGTAAGATTATAAATTGAACTCCAGTGTTACCAGTCCAGTGTAGTATCTCTGAAGTCCACTGATTGACATCAGTGCAGAGTGACACAATTGCAGAACATTGATCTCCTTCCCAGAGCCCTCTGCATGTGCTCCATCACTTCTTTGTTCATCCTACATGATTGTCAAAATGTTAGTTTGTTTTGTAAGCTGGTTTTCCCCCTTCTTGGCCAGCAGAGGCCTCTTAACTCACACAAAAGCTGCTCAGCTTGAAAGATAAATCAATGCTGTGTGCTGCAGTTCTGCACAGAAATCTGTACTGATTTGACATTGTTCTCATGTGTCAGAAGCAGTTAGGGCACACAAATGCCATATAGTGTAGATGGAGCCTAAAACCCACTGGGAGTCCCAGTTTTAGCTGATAGTGATCAATGTGGGCAGCTCTGTTAACAGCAACAGACATTGGGTACATTTTCCAAGGCTAGTCCTCTCCCCATATTTATCCCTGTTCCCTTCCAATTAAGATCTCTAAGGTTTGGGGCACATCTGTGAGAGTCCAATCACAGCTTCCTGCAGAGGGTGTGCCTGCTCCAGAAGTCAAATTGAAGGTAACATTTCATTTACATTCCCAACACAGCTCCCTTTGCAGTGCTATTCATCCACTCAAGTAAGGACTGATCACTTTTTCAGTTCCAAGGCACTCCAGTGATGAATCTCCCAGATCCTTCACATCTCTCACTGAATCTCTCAGGTGCACTGCTGGATTCCCCTCACAGTCTCTGCACCATCTGCAAGCTGATTAAGCAAAACATGAGCTGCACCAGGTTTCACAAGGTTCTGCCCCCTCATTTGGCATTAAGGCATTTCAGTCTTGACTCACCACTCTGTCATTGTGTCTGCAGAGAAATTTCAGTCCCTGAGGTTATCGTTCTCTCCAAACCTTGATGACTACAACCCAGATATCCCAGAGTGGAGAAGGGACATCAGCAAAGTAGTCAAGAGAGCTCTGGTGGAGGTAAGCTGTGTGCATAGCCTGTGTTACAAGGGTTCTGGTTCCGGATTTGTTCCTTCATTAGGACTGGATCTGATGTTCTCTCAAGGTGTCTCTTTGTTTCCACCACCCAGAAATGGAGAACTGACAGTGTTTGAGGCCAGCATCCTAAATTTTAGACTGGTAAATTATCTCATCCTATGACAATCTGGTGCCCAGAGTCAGCCTTCAGTGTGAAGCAACACTGTTCTAATGGAATTGCAAATATGCTGTAGAAAACTTGTGAGACCAAAAACTAAACAATTTTTACTACACAGAAGAGCACAACAGCAAGTACTTTGAGTCTTTTATATAGCATGAGTCTCACAGGGCAGGATTGGATGCTGGTTTTTTTCTGAAGTTCTTTCTTTAACTATGGAACACAATGTCACAAAAATATTCTAGTGTAGCTGAAGATTTGCATTTGAAATTGAGGAGGTAAGAGCTAGAAGAGATATCTGGTTTCTCAGCTCAGTAGAAAAACAGTGCAAGGAATTGCTTGAAATAATATTTCTGCTTTTTTAAAAATAAAGGTTCTCCAGTTTTGGAAGGACAAAAGGCTTGTCAATGTTATTAGCAAGCTTAAGTGTTATCTGTGGTATCATCTGTGCAAAAACTCTAGAAAAACTGTACTAATCAGGTGCATAAACCTGTCTGGATTGTTTCTGAGGTTTTTTTTCTGGAATTTTGTTGAAAGACATGAGGAAAAAAAGAGCATTTTTCTGGGGCTTAATCTTCTGATGTATTTATATCTGTATCAAGTATTCAAGGATGCATTTATCTTCAGGATGAATTTTCAGAATATAAACATCTCAATTAAGCAAAACCAAGCCATAAAAAAAGAAGAATTGTAAAACCACAGTACCAAGGCTACATTCCAAAAGCAGAGCAGTGAAAACACAGAGTCTTTTTGTTATTTGATTGAAAAAATAAAAATTGATAGCTAATTATCCATCTTTATATAGCTAAATGATTCACCTTAAACAAGCCTTTGTTAGCAGTTCCTGTAAAAATTAAAGATAAACCCAGTAGATTTCTACAGCAATTAAGTAAAAGGTATAAAAATGAGTCAAATAACTAAATAATTCAATAGGAAATTATAGGTGTGCTATAGAATTTTTATGAACTTTTATTAAAGTATTATATTCTTATTACAGAATATCATCAGACCAGGATAAAATTCTGCCTAGAAAATTATAGTTCTGTACTAAAATCTGATCTTCACTCTGAGTAGGGATAATTTCATACTATCACAAAATATCCTATTTCTTGTTTTGATCATAATTATTTGCTTGCATCATTGATTTTCTGATTACTGTCTCCCACTTCTGAAAAAAAAATCTCCCAGCCTCTGAAAATTAAGGCAATACTGTGTCTTTCTTGACACCTTACAGCAACCTGTTAGGCAAGCACAAATAATGTAATCCCTGGCTTCACAGAATACTCATAGAGACTATAAGAAACATTTATGTATTTAGAAGGATTTTTCTAAATCCACTTTACAAAACAAAGCAAAATTAAAAACAGGAACAAAGACACATGTTTTTCCTTGGTGTGTGGTGGAGGGGACTCCACAGGGTTTCCCCAGACTGTCAGCAGTCACGCTCGGGTTATCCACAGGACAGGCTCAGAAAATGGTGATTTATGATCAGTTTTGCTGACCCTTTGTCCTGCATCCACCATTTACTCCAATGAGCAGCTCTTCCATGTCTTTGCTCCTGTGCTACCATGGAGAAGAATTCCTGAGATTTAGGTCCAGTTAATGTCTTAGAGGCTTCCAAGTCCTTACTGCAAGGGAATCTCTGTGGTGCATGTATGATCTGTCCTTGTATCTGCAGGCACTTTTTTTCTACCTCTTTAAAAGTGGCCAACTAAATTCAGCACTTGAAAACTTCAGGTTAAATCAAACCCTTGAGATTTAAGTGCCTTTGGTGGATAATTCACAACAGAAAGGCAATGGAGGAAGATTCATTACATTATGTTTCTCCTTCCTTTGGCTAACAAAACTTCCTGAGGGCCAGAGTAGGTCCTTTTCTGGATAATAACTCAGCAATCTGATTTTGTAGCATCAGCTGAAACATGAGATTGGAGATGACCCTGGTAGTAATGCCTTTAGGGTACTTTTTTTTTCTGAATTTTGTCTAATGTGTCAAAATTAGGGATATTAAAGTCCTAACTTAAAAATTTCAGCCAATGAGACATACGAGATACACCCTACACAATGAAAGTACTGTGATGCCTTAACAAAGAAGCTCTCAGCACTCAGTGCCATTTATACTGTTTCTGTCTCCATTATTTCTCTGTATCAGGCTACAGGTATTTCCAGCAAGCATGTTCTGGTTGCAGTGCTCCCTGGCCTGCCCACGACTGCTGAACTCTTCATTTTACCATATCAAGATGCCAGAGGAGAAAAAAAAAGAACAGCATCAAACCCAGAGCAGGTATCGTGTCCATTACTTGGAGAAATGTGTGTGTATGCATTTCTGTGTCTGTGTGTGTGTATGAGATATATATATCTGTATGTATATGGGATTTGTGTATGGTTAGAACTGATAATTATGGTAGGAATGCATCTGATTCAGTGGGGTACATATTACACATTACATCCTCTTCAGGGTTTTTTTTATGCTTCTGATTTTTGGGGGGGTTGGTTGGTTTGGGCAGTTTTTTGATTTTTCATTCCCCAGCATTGGAAACAGGCTTTGGAGCTGCCTTTAGGAGTTTAGATGCCCATTTGTGTTCCCTTAGAAGTCCTGTTTACTACATGGAAGTAGGAAGAAAGAAGGAAGGATTTGGGGGATTAGTTCCTGCCAACAGGAACTGTGGAGTAGCTTCATGAAGCAATGTTTATGACACTGTCAAGAATTCAGAAAGCACTGAAGGACAGAGCTGGGTGGTAAACCTGGGCAGTTCATTAGTTTAAGGCACAGGGATTGGATTGGAGAATCTGTCTGCCTTCTTCATGGTGCTGGAAGTGGGGCTGAGCCAGTGTGGATTGTTTTCTGTCTGAGCAGCTGAAATAGGTTATGATGACTGAAGGACTCTGTCTCTCTGCAGACCCAAAAGGTCCTGCCAACCAGATGGGCCTAGCAGGTTTGTAATTAAAAGATAAAACACTGTGCTGGGCAAAAATCCTGAAACGACATAGAATTATAGAATTGTTAAGGTTGGAAAACACCTCTAATGCCATCAAGTTCAATGGATAACTTAGCACTGCCATGTGCACCACTAAACTATGTCCTCTTGTCCCATAGCTCCTTTGCTGTCTCTCAGCTTAGTAGCTCAGATTCCAGGGGCAAGGATAACTTTGGCCCTGAGGGAAGCACCACTGTACCTCTGCCTCCCATACTCCATGTCCATGGCTCAAGCCATGTTGACTTAGGTGTGAGCCTCACACCTCCAGGTCACCCATATTCTGAAGCTCTCCCTTGCTCAGCATTTCTGGCTGTCATCTTTTCTTTTGACAAATGACCTTCTTAAATTTTCACCACCCATGTAACAAACAAAAAATGTGGAGATTTACTGCTCTGCAAAATCTTTCCTTCCTTTTCTCCTTCATTTCCTCTTCTCCTCACTTCCTTCATAAATTGGTAAGGAAGCCAGTCCATAAACTTTCAAGTTTGCATCTGATCCAGCTCCCTTCCAGCACTCAGCAGCTTACTCTCTCTCCCTCTTTTTATGCCTGTCTTCTTCTCTCCTGTAAAAACAGAGTCTTTGTGACTGTGGAGAAAGGAACCCCTGGCAGTGCTCTCACAACCCTTTTTATGGACAAGAAGAAATGTCATTTTCAGTGCCACTCCATCAACAGCTCTGGCATCCTGCAGGGTCCAAATGGTAACCTTTGGAGGAAAGAGAAACTATTTGCCATTTGCAGCCAGCTCTTTTCTTTGAAAAAAACGCAGGATGGTCAGAATGTTTTTCTTTCTCATCTGTGGGTGCTGCATTCTTCTTCTAGTAACTCCAGTAGAAAATGGTGGAGTATTCTGTGAGAACTGCCCAAGGGCCAAAAAGGGAGTCTCTGCCCTCTGCTCTGAAGCATATTCTGATCCTGCTCCTGTTTTGTCATCTCTTTTGCCTGTGATCCTTCACTATGCCTTGCCCAAAGTGTCTTGGAGCTCATTCCACAGCCTCTCCTCGTGCTTGAAGTTGCTGGAATGAGTATTGGGAGCAGATGTTTTTCATGGCTACAGCTTAAGAAACTTAAGTTGCTTCTGAGGTACTTCTAATGTATTTGCTCTTTTCTGGTAGGAATAGAAGTCTGTTTTGTAATCATGGGCAAGGAATAAAGTATTCAAAGGCACGTATGCGAGCTTGCCAGTTTGCAGGTGCAGACCCAAAGGAGTTGGAGTTCTGAATTATGTTTTCTAATTTAGAAGAGAAACTTCCAAGTGTGAAGGGAATAGTTTACACAAGTACTCAATGGAAAAAGGTTCCTTAAGGAAGCACTTCATTACAGAGGTTCCTTCCTTCATCACCTGAGCTAGACCACTGCTCTGTCGTGAGTAACCGTGAGGGGTGTATGTGGTTTCATGGACTTTCACATTTACCAGTAAATCTCGTTCATATTTAATAACCATGGGAGGCTCACATTTTGCTGTTTCCCCTTGAGGTGGATTAAGCTGTTCTGTTTTTATCTGATACATACTCATTTTGCTTTGTAAACATGCTTTTAGGTCCCTCTGTCTAGCCACATGTCTCTAGGTACATAATTCCCATTGACTTCAGAGGTACTTAGATGTCCACTATGCTTTGACAGTCTAGGTCTTGGTTTACCATTTATCAAAGTCAGTAATACTCCTTTGTGTCACTCATGTTTTATAAGTCTGAACACAGTAGGCCAGTAGTAGTGGGACTGCAGTAGTTCCCCTCTTGACAAATGCACATTTCCATGCAGTTTTCCATGAGGATAGTGCATTTGTGTTTCATGCTCTCTCTGAGACTGTGGTCAGATGGTAAATGCCATTTTCTTCCTCACTTGATGTATCACTTTCATACAATTGTCCCAAATTCTTTTTTAATTTGTACATAGAATCAATTATTTTCATATCTGTTTGCATTTAGAAATGGGAACTCTGCATTCCTAATATTTTCCACTGGAGACTAAAGTACCTTTAAAAAGTTTGACTGCTGTTGACAGCAAAAAAAACCCCTGCTACATGTGAGTCTGGGGAAGGTTTCTCAATGTGCAACATAGGACAACTCCACCTAATACATAAATACAAAAAAAGTGCTTGATCCACTCCTCTTTCTGTAGTCAGTTGTTCTTCACAGTTTCCTAAACAATCAAAAGGCTTTTTCATCCTGCAGAATCCCAAAACACATTTGTAAAATCTTGTATTTATGACAGGAATATTGTGTATTTTTTCCCTTCTTTTTCTTTTTTAATTGGGTCATTTGATTGATCTGCTTCATTTAACAGTAGCTGAGGTCAGACTACCACTCTGTTTAAAAATGTAGAAATAATTGGCAGCTGTCAAACACTGGTCTTTGATTTGCATGCTATGACTGAAATATCCCAAACAACACTGAAATATCCCAAATCTTGCAAAAACAGCCACCCAGAATTGCCACTGGCCACTTGGGCTGGAATGCAGTTGTTTCACCATCTTTATGGATGGGGTTGGTGAATTTGATGATTACAAAATTCAGATCTGCTAAATCTCAAACTAGCACAAATTTCTTTCTCTTCAGTGAAAGGCAAATCTCCAATAGTAATATTTCAAGAAATTGAGTTATTTTTATCACAAATACAGTTCAAAATTAATTTTCAGTAGGAAAATATTGTAATTAAAATTCAGTAGAGGGCATTTATGATTATTTATTTCAGTGTATGGTTTTACTCTGTAGAAGGATTCTGAGGGGTTATCTTTTTATGTATGCATTTCACAAATTATCTTCTTTCCATGTTGTTTCCTAGTGGGGGCTTTTTCTCAAACATAACAAATGCATTTTCTTTTAGTAAAATGAAATGCAACCAGAAGGTATATGATAATTCTGAAGTGATGTTTTCATATCAAGTAAAGGTTTCAGTGTTATCCTGAATTTCTCTTTAGTTCTCCATTTGGGTGCTTTTCACTGGCTTATTCAAAATTACTGTAAAACAATGCAAAACAGGGGTAGGAACAAATAGTTAATGACATTTGAGGCCATTAATCTCTTCTCTGAGAAGAGCTTTCAGCAATATAGCACGATGGAGACTTTGGCAAATGGTAACATCAGCTGGTTGGTAGCCAACTGTACTCAATTTGTTGCAGCTGTGGCCAGTATCTGTATCCAGCTAAAAAGATGGGAAATGACATGGATGACTGATTATCAAATGGGCAGTGATGAACTGCAAAGATTAAATACCTCTTGTGAATTTAAAATCATTGAGAGTGGCATTCAGGAAGGCTGTAAGGATATACCTCCTGGGATTCTCTCCTTAAAGCAGATTTGGTTTTACATCTGCTTCTTTGCAGCTGATGGAGCTTCTATCTTATTTTAGAGTTTGGGGTTTTCTTTTGCCCACCCTGCTAAGCTTTAGTGTTTCAGTGTATTTGCTTTCAGTACTTTTCTTTCCTCTAATGTATTTCGGGTGTGCCCATCACCAAAATATTTTTAGCAACAAGATCATGACAGTGAATGCCTTCAAATCTTACAGAAAATTGTGCCAATCAGTCCTGGAAATTAAATTCCAGGAAGAGGTTGATATATGGGGCAAATCATCTGATGTGTACTAGGAGAGATTTTTTTAACATCTGTGCCTTTGAATGAAGATCAAGTCTTAGGGTGGTACTTAGGGGAGGTTGGACCAGCATTAAGAAGTAGAGGCAGATAAGGAGAGAATGGAATAATGTGAACCAAAACACCTTGTACCAGGGGCTTTTTTCTTTAGCCAGCTTTTCTTAATAGCTGCTTGTGTGCTGTAGGAGAGGCTGTGTAAATCTTTTGTCTTAATACCTTTGAGTTAACTCCTGCCACGTGACTATCAGCCCTCTCTCCCTCGTCTTTTGCTCAGAGTATAGAGCAGCCCTTGATTCTCAAGACTGTTTTTCGTTGCCTTTGTTCATCAAAAGTGGATCCTGGTTTTTGTGTCCAGGTCTCTGGGTTCATATCTGCTGTTCCATTCATGTCCCAGAGTAACCACAAGGAATATCCTCTGCCTCATGCTCTCACAGCGTCCCTGGGTACTCCCAGCAGCTTGAATTTAGCATCTTTCATTAAAGATCTGCAGAAATTCCTGCTGGAGCCAGGAAGTCAGTGACTGTGCTCTTTTCAGTGCTAAGGAAAGCAAGCTTTAGAGGCCCCATGTGAAGTGTCCAAGGTTATCCAGGGCAAGTGGCACAGTTTAAAGTAATCCACATTGGCCCTGACTCCCACTTCACTTTCCCAATGTTGGTTCAAGTTTCTTCCTACTAAATCAATGTGCCTAATTCTTTCCTTAGTTGTTTATTGATTTGCTCAATGAATTGAATAGAAGTGTAGCACTCATCAGTTGAGATCTTTACACAGTATCTATAAAATTATCAAGATTCTTAGCTAGTGCATACTGGCACAGTTGAATCACATTCAATTAGTCTAAAATAATTTACACCAGGGGTTTCAAAAGTCAATAAAGGTATGGGAAAATGCCCTTCTCAGTGATAATTCTGCTTCTTGGTTCACATGGTTCTTTTAGAGTCCTAAATCTGACAAAATGCTAAGAGCAGCCAAATTAATTTTTGTTTTGTTCCATTTTTAAATTGGAATATCTTTTTTTTTCATTCGCAAATTGTCTGTTATTATTATTCATTATGTGTCCTTTGATGAAAAATGATACATGAAGAATAGTTCCTATTACTGAATTATTTTTGCACATCATGCTTAATTCTGCAAATGAAGCAGATAAAGTCAATGAGGCTCAGTTAAGGACCAAAACTAATTTTGAAAGCTAATTATTTTCACAAGAGAGACTCTTGAAGACTATAAATTAAGAGGTTGCTATTCTAAGAAGTTTCATCTTCAGCTAAGTTAGTTGCATCTCCAGGAGGGAGAGATGAAGAGGGGGAGGCCTGAGGCCAACGTGTTCCCCAGATGAAGGTCTGGCTGTTCAACTGGAGTTGCATTGCTATTTTTGAAACAAGTCAAAGTGCTTTGATGTTTCCTTTTCTGCTTTTTAAACCAAAATGCGTCCATGGTGTCAATTTGAGTGCAGAAATAAAGGGAAGCACAAACTCCAAAATGTTCACCATTAAAACCTTTTTATTACCTCAACAACTGAGATCAGCCTTTGTGTGGAAATGTAATTCAGAGACACTATATTAATGCTGCAAACAAGTCAAGTCAGAACCACTCCTAGATTAAAGTCTGATAACTGAGCTAGAAATAGGCTTGAAGGCAGAGGAGTCTGTTCTCCAATCTCAAAGCAAATGTCCTGACTGACCTCTCAGTGATCCCCTTGGGACCATTGAGGACCACAAACATTTCCAGGTCCAGCTTTGGAGGGCAGTGTCCAATCCCAATGTGAATTTGGCCCTTGAGGCTTATGCAAGCTGATCACTGACCTCAAATACTGGCTTTTGTAAGCCATTATGTATGGTTTCTATTTCAGATAATTTTTAGGAGTACAGAAATGCATTTTCACTCTGTATGTCTGCTTTGAAGAGAATCTTGTTTTCCAGATAAAGGAAAATGAAAATATTGTACCAAACAAACAAGAAAACAAGCAAACATTGTAAAAACACGTCTAAATGCATCTGTTCTTCCCTCAGACGTGTGTGTCAGGAATCTCCAGAGCTGCCTGAGGAAGGCAGATGTCTGATTCTCACTAGAATTTCTGGCATTTTTGAAGATCTTAGGCTGTTACTCACTTTTTTCACTTGTTCAGATTCCATAAAGACCAAGGCAAAAAAAAAAAAGCCACTGGGAGAACATGTAATTAATCAAGCCAAGGAAATATGCTTTATACTCTGCACAGAATGAACAGTGTTGCTGCCAGTTTTGTCACTTTGTGTGTAGTCCTGGAACAGTTACGGCTGTTTCAAGCTTCTGAGACACTGATGGTCTCAGGCAAAAATTATTTTAGTCTGAGATGAATTTGTACATGATATTATACAATGAAGTCCTCATTCATAATAAAGTAAGAAAGCAATACAGTAATAATAAATTTAGATTGTGATTCTTTATTTCTGTCTTCCTTTTCCTTATTACTTTACCCTTACTTCCTCTCCTTCCTGTTTTTCCTTTCCCTTGGCCCTCCAGAGAGGAATACCTGTTGATGTTTCTCTCACACACCTGGCCTGCTGAGAGGCAGCCACAGCACCTCTCAGTTTTGCCTCTTCACTCAGTGCCCCACGAGCCCTCAGGCAGTCCAGGGGAGATCTCACTGCCCCTTCAAGTCTCCAGTGCCCAACCAGATCTCCTGTACTTTCTCATGCTGACTTTCTCCAGATTCTCCCATACTTCCATTTTTTTCGCCCAGATCCTTGAGGAAGCCATTCTCCAGTGCCCCATACAATGTTTGTAGCTGCAGACTCAGTTACATACCACAGTAAGCCTCTGCTTGTGTAGAAGGCATCATGTCTGCTTTTTACCTCTGCTCTTTCCCTGCCATTTTGTGCAGGTATCACAATGTGTTGAAGAGGAATGACACACAGTGTGGTTTTCTCCTTTCTTTAGTTTACTGTCTCATTGGTTTTTGTTTGTTTGTTTGTTTGTTTGGGGGTTTTTTGTGGGTTTTGTTTTGGTTTGGTTTTTTTTTTTTTCCTTTTTTTTTTTTTTTTTTTTTTTTTGGGGGTTTTTTTGTTTTTTTTTTTTTTTTTGGGGTTTTTTTGGGGTTTTTTTTTTGTTTTGTTTTTTTTTGTTTTTTTTTTTTTTTGTTTTCTTTGTTTTTTTGGGGTTTTTTTTGTTTTTTTTGTTTTTTTCCCCAGAGGCTCAGCTGCCCCAGCAGCCTCAGGATCTCAGAGCAGAAAGGAAAATTCCTGTAGGGTTATGGAGGAGAGCTGTTAGGTTTTATGTAGGACTGGATACAGCCAGGATGGTACTTTTCCCATTAATGTACCTGGTTTACACCATATCAATCTGCATCTGTTGCTCTAGTTTTGGAGATTGAAAACTTTTTATAGTTGCCAATCTTGGTTATTAATATGCTCAAATCCTTAAAGAGGACTATAATTTGCTTCCCAGGCATTCTGCATGTACTGCATATCTTTGTGTCACCATCCCTGCTGCTCTGAGCTCAACAGATGGCTCTTTGAATGCAGGTGGTATTTTTTCTTGCTATTGGAAGAAATATATTTATTGCTCATTCTGGCACCCATGAAATAAATTGTAACTTTAAAGAGATATATTTAAAAATATAAATAAAATGCTTCTAAGAGTTATTGCCAAATTGATATTGGACCAAAGGCACATATTCAAGTGATCAGCAGCCAGAAATGAAGTGTATGAGCCAAGAGTATTGAAAGAACCATTAAGAATGTTAAAAAAATAAAAGAAGCAGATAAATCTCATACTGTGATGAATGATAGCCAAGGAACATCTAATCATATCTGGGTAGAATTTACTGAAATAGTTCAACCAGACAAAAATGAAGAACATGAAAAAGATGGTGTAAAAATTATTGGAATGTTCTTTTTTCTGACAATTTTTCATTAATCTTCAAGAAGGAATAAGGATTTATTTAACACAAATTGAATTAAGTGGTGAGCACTAGAATTCACTTCCACTTGATCCTGGTATGGCTATAAAAACACATTCTCAGCAACTGCATATTATGGGTTATGGGGGACTTTTTGTTTCCAGTTTTCCAGCCACCTCTCCCTAATAAGCCAACCTGGAGAGCTGTGACTGTTCAATTGGAAAATCGATCTTTGCTGTAAGAAAATGTGAAATACATGAAGCGTCAGGCAAATGAACATACAAAAGACACACAACAAACTGTCAGCACCATGTCTGTAGGCTTCCATTCCTTGATTAATCTATGGATTTTTTGTTTTTAATGGCAACATGTTTTAATGGCATATAATGAAATGTCATGTGGAAAAAGTGGATCTGTGCATATTGCGACAAACTGACTTAAAAAAAAGGCATGTTTGCCAACAGATTGGACCAAAGTTTGGCTCCTTTATTGTACAAATACAGATTTCATGGGGTCTTTTCTCAGCAAATGCTCATCTTTTCTGTTGTGTCCTTAAAGGAGGAATAATCTGCTTCATTTCTCCTAGGGCTCTGTTGATGTCATCAGTTATGGAAAGATAATCTGGTGATCTGAAAGCTCTGTGGAATATCTCCCTATGAAAGAGAGTGGGTTATGAATGTAACCCAGAAGAAAAGATCGAACATGCATTTTGTTTAAGCCACATTCTGTAGTCAATAAACAGTTCCAGATTTGAGCTGGTTCTGGTACATATTTAAGGATTAGGGAGCAGCTGTCTTGAATCTCAGAGCTGGATGAAATGAAATTTGCTTTTAGAACTTGAAAATTAACTGCAAGCTGTGGCAAGGATTTAAACCACTCATTTTTATTCAGGTATATCATATGTTATGAACATCCTCTAAGAGCATAGAACTGGCCACTCAACAATCAAGAAGTTATTTATTACGAGCAAGTGTTCATTAACAATTGGAAAGTTCCTTTTCCTTGAACAGTGAATGAGTTCACTGATGTGATGCTGCTGGCTGGTCCTGTGGCCACTTTCACATGTGGGTGGAACATTCCTTTGGGGCTCAATTCCCTTTTGCTGCTGGGCTGCTCTCACAGAGGTGTGACTGGGCACCTTGTTGCTCAGCCAGTGTTGACCAAACACAAACCACTCTGTCCAAAATCCTTCATTGTGAGGTGATAGGAGTCTGTGCTCAGAAAGTCTGCAAAATCTTTGCTTTGCCAGCAGAAACAAATGCCTTTTTTTTTTTTTTTTTTCCCTTTGGTTGTTTTTTCCTTTCCCAGATTTCAGAAACACTGATCCAGAAACTGAACCAAAACCTGGTCCATTTTGAGTTGAAGCCAGGAGTTCGAATCCTTGTCCATGCTGCCCATTTAACAGCAGGTGAGTATCCTCTTTCCGTGCATGCCTTGTGTGTTGCTCTATGGCACAACAAGCAATATATCGATGGTAGTAGTGTGCTATCAGCTGTATTTTAAACATTTCTTATTTTTATGTCACAATAACAACACAGTATATGAGCAGACATTAAAATGTCTGCTCTACCTCACCTTTCTCTATCATGTCAAAAAGATGTAGTGGCTTTTGCATTTACAGCTAATCCTTTTGTTTTCTTAGGTGCAAGAATTTACTGGTTTTTTTTAAATGTGATATAAGTAGCATCAGAAGTGTGTATTTCTTGGTTATCTTTAGAATATTCAATAACTAAGCAGCGCCATGGCATTTTCAGCCTGGGTCCCAAAGTGCAGAAGTTACCTGCTAGCCTTGGATATGTTCAGATATTCTAGAGTCAACAAACATTCAAAGCAACTAAACACTGCTCAAAAGTTGTTCAGCAGTATGAAAGACTAGAATCAATATAGATATGCACAAAAATAAGATCAGGCAGTTTGGCCCTTAACTAATCCTATTTCAAAAAAAGTCATCTCCAAAGTCCTGATATTTAATTACATATGTCACTGTCTATTCTGCATGCTATAACCTCATTTCACAGCACATGTCCTACTTAACTATTACAAGAGATGGACAAACCAATCCACACTCTTAGGAGCTCAGTTGGTATCAGCTTCTTTTGATAACTTGCAAACTTAAACCCTCAGTTCATTTGTACCAGAAAACTGCTCTCCAAAATCTTTTTTTGTGGTACAAATGGATTTTCCCAACCAGGTGTCAGTCCACGTGCTGCCTTGTCAGCAGTAAGAAAAGAGACTATTAAGGAACGATGTAATGTGACTGCATTTACATCCCTGCAAAAGAAAAGCCTGGGGTTTCCAGTATTTCATTTTTCCTAAGCAGACCTTTCTAATATCTGTCCTGAGAATATTTCTGTATGTTTCTGCTTTCCATTAGCTGTGGAACAGATGGCCAGATGCTTATTTTTAGACAAGTTAGAACCAAAATCATGTAATGTCAGCTTCAAAAATGGAGTTATAAGCAATTGTTCTTAATTTTCACCAAAAATGCATGCTTTTATTTGTATTTACACACAGACACCAGGAAGGAGTACTTTTTGTCCATAACAGTTGGAAACACTAATTTTTTTCTGTAAGGTACTCTCTCTTTCTGTTGTACTCTCTCAAAGCCACTGGTGAGTGATTGCTGTAACTGGACTATAGGTAGGGTATAGGAACCCTATAGGATTTTGTCTCTTGAAGAAACAGGATTCAGTAAGAATACAAAATGAGCTTGGATGGCCAAAGTATGCATTAAAAACCCAGAGAACATCCACTGTGAGGTCTTTGAGGGATTGTGTCTCCTTAACAAGCTTCAGAGGTCATGTTCTCCATCTAAGTAAAAGGCCCAATTTCATGACACCAAAACTTGTGAATAGTTCAAAATTTGACAAAGAGCCATGAGAGACTTAGTTCTCTGCTGAAAGCTATTGTTTTGGTTGTTAGAAAATAAGAAGAACTGGCCTTTGGAAATCCAAGCTTTTATAAAAAAATTAAATAAAATGAACCAGGAAAGCCTGGAACACAGCACAATGCCAGAAGCAACCATTAGAGAACACAGTCCCAGGGGATGCACATGCCCAAAGGTGCTGCTCTGGGCTATGTTATCCCTTCTTTCCCAGGCTTTTCACTGATTTTGTGTTGGACTTTGGTAACTACGGGCTGTAGTTGGCTGAACCACAAAGCTCAGTGTGTTTTTGGAAGTGTACACACACATATCTCTGTACACCGACATTTATGTTGCATGCCTCAGTGCATGTTTACGTTCCCTCTGTGTGAGCCTGCCCATGCACAGCAGCATTTTCTTCAGCAGAGGACCTGCAGGGAGCAAAATTGCAGGTATCTAAAGTAGCTTGGAGTGGACATTCAAGCAGAAGCTGTAGAAATGACTCTGTGTGTGTGTGTGTTGTGTGAGTGTATGCATTCCCTGGAGCACAGAAGAATGACAAGCATTGGCCTCAGCACATTTCAGACTTCTTTCTTCTTTGTTCAGACCACATTGGAGGAAGGACTAATTTATGGCAATTATAGACAACAGATTGTGATTCATTCATCATGTTCATTCCTTCTTCTCATGAGATAAAAAACAAACCAATGTCCCCAACCCAACAGACAACAACTTCAACTCTAAGGCAGAGGAAAACATGCCAATATTCCTCACAAAGCAGTTAAATAGCTGTTTATTACTAGGCTCTCAGTGCAGCATTAGAGCAGGAACATTGAGTGATGCTGAATCTGAATAGGCTGGAGAGCCACTTTGTCATCCCACAGAACTGCAGAGACCCACAAAACACAGATGGAGAGGGACAGAGTGGAGATATGTAAGGAATTCATAATAACAGATCCTTTCATTCTGGCTCCTGCTAGATGTGGGAAGGAGAAGGTTTTTCACTTTTCTTTGTAAATTTTGGGTTTACCAGTCTGGGTGTGAAGCTGAAAAATACGTGTGCATGTGATGTGTGTGCCTTTGCTTGTGTGAGCCTGTTTCCTTGTGTCTTCTGGCTCTGGTTTAGGAGGGGTCTGTTCAGTGCACGTGAAGAGGTGCAAGAGGGGGAGGATGTGTTTGGCAGCAGTTCAAGTTGAATTTGACTGCCTTACAGAAGAGGGTACGACCTGGGCCACGTCCTGTGTGTGGGGATGTGTTTGCTCCTTGTCATGGCACAGCTGGAGCTCTGTGTCTGCAGTACAGACTCTGCAGGAACAGCTGACTCCTCTGCTCCTAGGTGTGAAACTGCTTGGAGGCTCACTGCCTTCCTGTATACATGTGTGAGAGTGATGGAAACTCTGTTTAATACCATTCACTTTGTATTTCTGGGAAATCCATGCTTCTGGATGGGTTGGGTGGCCTTCTTTTGGGAGGGGTTATACCAAGATGGTGAGCAAAACTCTAAGGAGAAATACAGAGAGACTCTTTAATTAAGATTGGTTTTGATGTGTTCTGGGGTTTTTTTTCTTGAATCTGAAAGAAAGTCCTCTAAGGGGAAAGCTGTGGAACTTCACATCAAGGGGTATGTTGGGCACCACAGGTAACCTGAACCTGAGTTTCTTCCCAGTTGGATTAAAAAGGGAGAGAAGCCTAGATGTGCAGACCTGCTACAAGTGCAGTAAGAGAGGAGAAGGAACTGTATTTCTGGAGGGAGCAGCTTTCACTTCAGGCTGGGGTGGCTCTAACCTTCTCCTCTCTTGCAGCTCCCCTGGTGGACCTCACTCCCAGTCACAGTGGTTCAGCCATGCTGATGCTCCTCTCTGTTGTTTTTGTGGGACTAGCTGTGTTTGTCATCTACAAATTCAAAAGGTATGACCTTCCCTGAGCCATTTCCTTCTCTCCCCTGCTGCCTTTTGCTGAGGTGTTTGGGGTTTGTTTGCTGGGTTTTCTTTTTCTGAGAGAGTTGTTTTTTGGTTTGTAAAAGCTGATACTACATCATCTGCCAGAGTACCACACAATGATGGTTTCTGTTAATGTTTTAGGAAGATTCCTGGCCTTAATATATATGCACAGATGCAGAATGAAAAAGATCAAGAGATGGTCAGTCCAGTCAGTCAGAGGGAAAGCATACCTAATGTCCCTCAAAGTGAGATGATGAGCCCTGAGCAACTAGTAGATGAGAAGTTGGAAGTCCACCCCATAGGTAAATAACTTGCAGCATCCTGCAGCTGGTCAGACTCCGACTTATAATTGGCTAACCTTTTTCTCAGCCTTCCCTCTTCCCATATTCCTGCACAATCCTCCTCCCATCCTCTTCTGCTGCAACATTAGTTTTGCTACAAGAAACCTTCTAACTTTTCCCTCTCCCTCAGTGCCATGTGATGAAAGGGAGGGGAACAACTTTAGGCTTTTTCTCTCTCCTAGTTGCTCTACGTAGATCCCCTCCCCTTCTCAAAAAAATCCTGCTGGCAATGTAATCTATTTTGCTGGGGCTGATATAGTTGTGGGGCTAAGCCCCATAGCCAGAAGAACTGATGAAGCTCACCTGGAACATGGAGGTGAGCAGGTGATTTGGTAAGTAATATCTAAAAGCTAAATATCTGCTGATGTTTTGACTGCTGGCACCTTTGTGCTGTGCCAGACCCTGTTGCCAGCAGCAGTGTTAGTCTGGCTGATTCCCAAATAAACTGAGTAAAACCTGGGATCTCAGTATTGGATAGCTGGGTTTATCCTCAGGCTGACTTCTCCCACAGGCCTCTGTGTTTGCTTATTTCCAAAAGCAGGCTTTTTTAGGACCTGAAGTGAATAGATTTGGACAGGGCATTCTGGGATCAGTCTGTTTTCTGTTACCCTGGCTGCAGTAGAAGTATTGGGATAGAGCAGGGAGGTTTCAGTCTAGAAACATGTTCTGCTAAAGCCAGGACTGCTTAGGCAACGCTCAGCATCATTCATGAGGTGATAATTCTGCAGGTCCAGACTGGAGGTATCCCTGAAAATAAGGACATGCACCTATTTTAGAGGAATTAAAGAGAAGAGGCTGCCCAGGGATGTTGTGGACTGTCCTTCTCTGGAGATATTCAGACGTCTCCTGGACATGATCCTGTGCAACCTGCTCTGGGTGAAATTGTTTTAGCAGGGGGGTTGGACAGATGTTCTCCAGAGGTCCCTTCCAACCCCAACTGTTTTGTGATTCTGTGACTTAGGCAGGAATGAAGCACAATTGCAACTGAGATTCCTTATTTGCACAGTTTCATCAGCCTAAACAAACCTTAGATCTCACCTGAGGATGTTTCTAAAATCTCTTGGAGTGTTTGCTAAAGCAGGCTTGGAGTCATGGCTGCTGCAGAGAGGGAAAAAGAAACAGGACAATTAAAGGGAGGAGTGTGATGTGCTAAGGTTGCAGCCTGTGAAACAACCTGGGAGCAAAAAGGAGAAAGGCTCTTGATGAAACAGATGTCTTGGCTGGAAGCTCCACTGCAGTCAATGCTGATCTCTCCTAATCTGTTCACTAGGGAGATTTTTTAGCTATTAAAAGCTTTTAAGCAGCTATTCATCAGCAGACCTGGACACTCCTGCTTAACAGAGCACAGGATGGAGTGAGGGGACCAACTTTCCTATGTGGTATTCCCCATACAGAGCAACCTCAGGCCACAGTCCCGAACCCAAGGAAAGGAAATGCAACCAAGGTAGTCTGGACAGAGGACTTCCAAAAAGCTTGTGGATCACCAAGAGATTTCAAGCCAAGACCCAGAGCGGTGGGTCCTAAACTTTGGTTTTTTTTTTTTTTTTGTTTTGTTTTGTTTTGTTTTGTTTTGTTTTGTTTTGTTTTGTTTTGTTTTGTTTTGTTTTGTTTTGTTTTGTTTTGTTTTGTTTTGTTTTGTTTTTTTTTAATGCTTGGTTTTCTTGTTCTTGTTGTTTTTCCCCCCTAGAAACCTCCAAGGCAAAATTGCTGTAAGATGCTGAAACACCCAATTTCAAGTCAGGAGCTCTCTTTCTAGAGTTGGGTGAGCTTTGGGCTTTGAGCTTCCCCTTTCCAAAAGAATGCAGTGGTGCTGGTTCCTGTTTTCACAGGTCACTCAGGCTGCAGTGGCAAGGGTCAGTCACTGCTAACTTTATGTAAGATACCTTCAAAACTGCTCTTGCTGGTGGGGGAAATTTAAACCCTAGAAGAGTCCATGATAAGAAAAATCAAAAGCAAATTTTGGTGGTAGGTTTTTATTTGGTGCATCTATAGCATTTCTGGCTGTCTCTAACAGCCAGAATTTTATACATTTTTCAGTTCTGCTACTGAACACTGCATTACACCAGAAATTGGCCTTTTACAACTCCTCGGTTTGCACTTGTGACTGCAACGATCAAGCGCTAAAGTTAAATGTGTGAGATACACAGACTCAATTAAGTATCAAAAGGAATCAGTCCAACAAACTTTCTAAGAGTGTTTTTCCCTCCTGTCAGTGAGATGAATGAGAAAACTGAATCAGAGCTCATTGACAAAATGAGAAGGTCTGGACCTAGATGTGAACAGAATAGAAAGTGCAAAGGCACCTCTCCTATACAACCACCTCATCTGTTACTGGAAATCAGCAATTTCTTTTTTAATGAGTTTTCTTTCTTTTGGGAAAACAAAGCAAGATTGTAATTGGGTGTTTCTCTTTTGTATGCTTGTTCAGAAACCATTTTTTTTTTCATCACCTTTGACTAACATTCAGGGATCCTGCCTTGGAGGAATCAGAATTAATGTCCCTGCATCATTTAATTTTCTCTCCAAACTTTGGCAGCAAAACCTCACTTTCCTATTTTTTGGATGTGTGTGGTTTAGGCACTTCTTTTGCAAATGCAAAGGTTAAGGTTATTTATGAAATCTCCAGCACCTTATCATTGCAAATGAGTTACACATTTCCTCTGAGGACCTCAACCTCTCCTTCCCTCCACCCCTCTGCTCCTGCCTTTCCCTCTACCTTTCAACACGAGTGAATCATCTTCATTAGCAAAAGAACAGGACACAATCTTCAATGTTTGAATGGCAAGAAAATATTTCTGGAAATAATGTGTCAGTCTGGAACAGCTGAATCCCAAAGGCAATCAAGGTGATACCTGCAAGCATCTTCCTTGACTAAATATGTATGTTATTTACTGACTTTTATTTTGTTCTTTGCCACAGGAAGTATTTCCACAGCTGCTGAGCCCCAGAGCACAAAAGAAATCCCTACCTATGTAAATGGTTGAATTGAGGACACCAACATCTGTTTCTAAAAAAAGGAGAGCTCTCTGCATTTGGACTTTTTAATTCTTCAGATGACAAAGGGTTTTTAGCTTTAAGCCTGTGCATGTGGACATTATAATGAGACCATAGTGGAACTGCATTGTACAGGTGTTCAATTTTAGTGGGGGGTGGGGGGAGAGGAACTGGTACCACTATTCACCCCTGCGGCCCTTCCCCTCACCCTTTCACTCTCTTTTTTCTGATCTGTCTCTAATTTGTAGAAAATTCATAATGATATAGGCCAAGAATATGCATGGGGGGGTCTCTTCTTTAGGGAGAGGGGTGGGCTGGGATGTGGGGGGAGAAGGGCTGGGGCGGTGGGAGGTGGGAGGGATTGTTTAGGGTTCTTGGCTTTAGGTTTAACTGCTCTTGTAGCACTTTGGGCTGCGGGAGGGGTAAGTGCTCCAGCAGACTTCCGTAGGACACACACACACAAAAAATCACACTGGAGTTTTAAGGCACTGAAAATATTCTTGGTCAGTCTGGTTTATCTCTCTGTTTGGACTCTGCCCTTCATTCCTCTAGCTGCAGCTGCTGCCTGTGCTGCCCACACTGTGAGGAGGCCGAGTGTAAGTGTGGGTGATGCCAGCTGCGAGGCCAGGCTCCTTCTTAAAGAGCTTTCTTAGCCTGCTCACACCAAGGCAGTGCCATGGGAGGATAATGTTGCCTCCTAACCCTGAACAGAACAGAACAAGCATGAATTACAGGCAGGAGGTTATTGCCAGCGAGAACTCAGTGTACTTTGTGCCAGCCTTACACCTTCAGTTTTGGCTGAGAGAAAGCAGCACCCTCAGCTCTATGTAGTGCTGATGGCTGAATTTGTCTGGGGAAGTCCCAGGAGATCTCTGCCTTTTCAGAGTCGCCCAAAGGCCTGTCAGTTTTTTGAAATGCACCTTGTCCATAGACTAGGGGGCAGGGAAAGGTCTGTGCACAGTTTTTCAGTGGCTTTCTTTGGCACCCCCATAGGCTGCAGATCTACAAGCTCTGCAAGTGGGCAGAAGGAGGGAGAATTTGGCTTGGGACTGTTGGCCATGCATTTTGAGCCTCAGTACCACAAGGCCACTCTTACACAAGATTTGATTTCTTATCAATAACTTAAGCTTGTATCTTACCCTGCAAGTGGAAATGAGGCTGTAGGACATGTTCACACAGACTGTGCAAGGGAACAGCAGGAAAGTAGGATCAGCATCTCAAACAAGTCCTCCAAAGACACTGGGTAGCTGTGTGAAGCCTAGCCCGTGGTCATTACAACTGCTGATTTCCAACCCAACTCAGGTAATTAAGCCTAGCACCAGGAATTTGGTTTGGAGTGTAAGGACAGAAATTCTGTAACCAGTGCACACTTGCCTAACTATGTTAGGTTGAGAAAAGTAGAGGCCAGTTCATAATCAGTAAGTTACTTGTAGGAGGCACCCTGATTGCTGGCATAGGTAGGTTTTGTTCAGTAGACATTGTCCATGACAACCTGAGTCAAGACCAGGAGAAAGCAGCATGGTAAGTGTGGCCCAGAGTCCCAGGGCAGGGATTTGGTGGTGGTGGGTTTGAATTTCTCCGTCACAAACTGGGCACAAACCTAAATCAACCCACTTGCTGGCAAAACAAAAGTGATACCAAGGACATTAGGCCCATAGTAGTTAAAGAATTATCACCTTACAGAGTCCTCTGCCTCCTTCTGCAGTTTCTGTGAGGCCTGGTAGAAACACAGCAGTTTGTATGGCTTTGCTATTATGTTTGCAACTACAGCTTTAAGAAAGATGGGAAAGTTTTGGCTGCAACTGTATAATAGTCCCCACTGAAGTCCAACATTAGCCAACTTATTTTTATAGTAAGCCAATCAAAAAGTTTTCTTATAGTGTTGGAACTATTTCTAATTTTAAAATTACTTTTTTTGATGTACTTTTTCATCTTCTTTTTCCCTTTCGTTAAATACAATGTAGCGTAATGTATAATTGCTATTGTTTATTGCTTTTACAGTCATATTTATTAAACAGATTATGTCTCTAAATGAAGGCCTATGTTTTTTTGGGGTTTTTTTGCTCATTTTAGCCTCTATCCCTGATGGGAATCACTAACAATATTAAAACAGGAGGTAGTTGATAACCTAAAAAAGATACAGATGTTCACAAATGGGGAAAAATACAGTTCCTACAAGCAAGATGCCAATATAAAGATAGCCTTCTCAGTCCTCAATTTTTCTGCTTTCCAAACAAGAAATTATAGAGCTCTGAGCAGGTCTCTGGAACTCCAGCTCCATTCCCTGTCCATGGTTATCCTTCCCCATGCAGTCTCTGCTAAAATATTTCTTTTTTTTTTTTGGCTTTGCTTCTGCCAGCACTGATGAAGGAAAGTCTGAATTATTAGCATTACTGATTAATTTACATGTGAATAAAATGAAGCCTAGGAAGTTTCTGTCAGCTTGCCATATGGCACTGGATGCTTGTTGCTGAGAAAAAAAAAAGGACGAAAACAGAACTTCTCTCCTTTTCAAGTCAGGATGTAGCCACTTCTTATAACAAGATCCAGGTTCAGTGCTCTTCTTTGTACCTCAGGATCTGAATTTATATATGCACATAAGTAGTCAAAGCTGTGGGGTTTGGGTATCCTCAACAACCAAGGCTATGGTATGACACATTATGAGTCCAGGAGTCCTGGGTTTTCTCATTGAGGAGGGAGTAGTTTTCAGTCCTGGGCAGACCCCAGTGTAATTAACAATTATTAGCCTAGAGTGTTCAAGTGGACACTGCAGCCTTCTCCGTTCAGGCTGGAATGGCCACAGTGCAGGTGACTCACTGAGGTGTGTGAAGCCATAATCTGCTTTAATAGTTTAAGTACCCACCTGAATTAGCAGGCATCTGTTCTGGCCATAAACAGTAAGTCTGTTTGGCAAGCACCTCTCTACAGCGTTTTCAGATCATTCTCTTCAGCTTGTTGTGTGTCCTGAGGCAGAGACTGATTGTTATTTGGAGTTGTTTTCTGGTTTGTATAACAACACAGTAATTCGCTGCTAATGGATGAAAACTGTGAGAGTAAACAAAGAATGCCAAATACTTACAAAATCCAAAATGAATTTTCTCTGAGAATGTTGTCTTCCCTTGAGGGAACAAAAAAAGTTCATTTTCCTTTGTCAGAAGGAGTAGAGAGTTAAAATCTGATTAAAAAGTCAGATAAAGTATTTTCCTAATTTCATGTTGATTCTCTACTGTCAACATACAGATGGGACGGACATTGTGGCTTCAGAGAAATTTATACTTCTCCACCTAGAAAGACATTTGAGCAAAGATGCTGGATTGCTTTTCCTGAATATCAGTAGTTATTGGTGTTCAAACACTTCTGGGAATTTGGACCTCAAACAATTGCTTGCTCTTAATATGTTATTATTTGATTGCTTAAACTCTTTCTGAAAAGCAGGACTTGAAGTACTTGCTAAAGTGCTTATGCAAATGAAGCAGGAATTTCCAGTGACCCTGAATGAACCCTGTCTTGGTCCTGTCAACTTCTGCTAAGAATTTCTGACAATTGCATTTAGTGTGGTACCCAGAGCCGATAACAAGGGATTAGTATTTTATCTGTGTGCTGTCACCTCTCATTGAATGCATGACAAGTTTCCTTGTCACATTATATCTCTAGGTACATTCAGTGTTTTAAACATTACCCCTGATTGCAGAGCTACCATGTTCATGGTGTTGAAAAAGAAAACTTTATTTTCCTTCAGTTAATGAGATGCTGTGCCTGCATTTCTCCATGAAACAGAATCATAAAGCATGTGAATAAATAATACTCGAGCTAAAACAGATCCTTTTAGTTTAGAGTGTTGGTATGATCTTGGCCATAATACCCAGAAGAAAAGACTGAAGTCAGATTGTTTTCTAATTGATAAGATCAAAGTGCTATCATGTACCAAGTCATTAGCCTAAGAGATATATTTCATCTGCAGTTTTAACTTTAGCTTTTTCCTTTCCCTTTTTTCCTGCTGGGGAATATGGCTTTCTCTTACTCCGCTGAAAGAGGGATGTAAAGGAAATCTGTGTTGTATTCTTCTCAGTGTGAGGATTTCAAGATGTATTCCTTCTTGTTTGCATCCACCCTGTGCTAGGTGCTTTGTGCACCTCGGCAGTAATTGCAGCTTGGGTCTCACATTGTCATCTTGGGCCATTTTGGTGAGTGGACCTTAACCAGACCTTCTCTACACTAGAGAAAATAAACCAGAATCTCAATGTTTTAAGAGTTTTGACTTTTTTATGGAGAAGCCCTGAGAGACAAAGGTGCAAGAGAAGGACTGTAACAAAACCCTTGAGAAGAGAGGCACGATTGCCTGCCTTTGATACAGCACAGATGCAAGAAAAAAAACATCCCTTTATGACAAAAATTCCTCCTCCAGCCTTTCCTAAACCAAGCTGGGTGTGGTGACATTTCTGGGGCTGCAGCTACCCTTGCAAATAACTGCTCCCCAGCCCAAGAGCGTGGGAGCTCCCATGGACCTTGTCATTCCTTCTTGTGCCCCCATGAGGCAGCTGTAGGGCAGAGCTCTGGAACAAGAACTGGACTGACAGCTGCCTCTGCTCTGGCTGCTTGCTGTAAAAAGATGAATAATGCATGCAGCACATTTAAATGTAATGTCACTGAGTGCTTTCTGGAAGAAAACCTTCACTATTAACCTGCCTGCATGACAGGAACATCCTTGTTGGATTCCCTGCAGTGAGGGGCTGAACCTTTGTCCCCACCCCAGCAGGGTCTGGGTTGCAGCATGTCCCCATGGTCTCCTTGTGGGCTGAGGGTCCCTCCTGGGACTGAGGCAGTTTCAGTGCAGTCCTGCTCTTGTCATTTTGGCTGAAGCTGGAAACTTCCTTAACCTCTGAAGCAGACTGCTCACTTGAGGTGATCCCTGCCTGATGTCACATGAGGTGAGTGGATGGGATTCTGCACTGTTGAGAACTGGATGGTGTACACCATGTGGAAGATTTAAACCAGATATTTCACAGCAAATAACTTTTTTCCACATTCCACACTTGCCTAGTCCCACACAGAGTGTGAGATTCAAACCACTGCAATCCTCCTTCATGCTCCCCTGAAGCTACAACATGGCTAGAGTAAAAACCTGAGGTTTCTTCCATTCCTTCTGTGGCCTTATGGGTGAGGTGAAGCAGTTTGGCCAGAGCTGCAATCCCTGAACTGTATTTGTGTCTGTCTCTGGACAGTGCTTTCTCCAGAGATCCAGAAGAAGCCATAATAAACATGGAGACAAAATCTTACCTCAGCCCCTGCTGCAGTCACAGGACTGGCCTCTGAGACACTGAT